ACGTCACTGGCCGCCATATCGCTCACGTCACACCAGAGGACACGGTGTTTATACAATATTGTGTTGTATTGTAAAATAGGACAGGTTCCAGATATAACTTCTGAATTCTTCGTAAGTATGATAAGTAAAATCAGTGTGGCAGGGATAAGAATCCTATCTAAACGTAGGTATTCTCGCTCGCTTTTCGCTGATGCTATGTGGTAAGTAACGCTAGAAGTCTAATCTCGCCGAATGCTATTCTCAGCCACCTCAGCCAAACAGAAACAAAAAAGGCCCATAGCTCGTGATTTTGACATAGGCGCACTGTTCTCCAAGTCGCAAGTTGAAGATGCAATGGACGACTCTCGTTACCTCCGACTATCACCACGATTTGTTCAGCTCCTTCGTGTTGATGCGAGAGCTCGAGTTCTAGTACACTTAGTTCCTGGGTGATATCTGCAACGACGTTCCCTCGCGGACGAGGATTGTACGATTCGGCTTGGATTTCTGCTCGCTTGGTGTCATCGCAAGGATTGTCCCAGTCTTGCTAGACTTCGTCATTGTCTCAGCTTTTATAGCACAATTTCTGGATCGTAACATAGCAAAGATGCCGATACTGCTGCCAAGACAATTCTGCCCCAACGCCTCTTGGAGGACGCGAAGAGGTGTATTGCTCCTTCTTGTCAGTTTCGTACTCTTGCGCTCTCGCATAATCACATCTCCCAAAGAGGCACTCGCTAGGTTGAAGGCCGTTGCCTCTAGGCCGCGAGTCAGCCAGGAAGAACTCGTTCGCGCACTGCAACAGTTGTACATTAAGGAGCCCGATGGCACTCAGACCTTACTCATACCACGCGAGGACGGAATCTCAATGGTGTGTATTCATCTAGCGTTCTTCCACAGTGATCATGAGGAGATTGCGTGTTTGTCACGTTTTAGATTGAATTTACTAGTTGCTATGTTGAAGATTACATTGGTAGATTTACTATTGTCGAGTCAGGAAAGATCAAAAGCAATCGTTTTATCCTTTCGTTTGTCCAAACGTGAATCCCGTCTCACATGTGCACCATATATGCTCGTTTCTGGCTTGTGCTAAACTAAACTTTGACGATGCTTACGAGTGTTTACCTGTAGATTCCTATCCGCCCTACTCCATCTTCACTGGTTTCCGCCAATGTCAAATATTTTCCTCCCGCTCCTGCAACCCACAGACCCAATCTCGATCGAACTTTCCTCCGTCAGCTGCAAGCCATTCTTCGCATCGCGATTCCGACCTGGCGCTCTAAAGAAACTGCAATCTTGCTCACTCACAGTTTCTTTCTCATTTTCCGCACTGTACTCAGCGTCGCTGTCGCACGGTTGGACGGACGCATTGTACGCGATCTTGTGAGCGCGGATGGGAAAGGTTTCATGAAAGGCCTAGGACTTTGGTTCGCGCTTGCTATACCAAGCACGTATACTAATACTATGGTATGTTCGAGTTACACGCTCAGTCGTGTGTGTGTCACTCAGCGCATTGACTCTAACGACTAGTTGCGACATTTTCAAGCGAAACTTTCGCTAAGACTTCGCACACGCTTGACACGGTACACAGATGATTTGTACTTATCCCCTGCACCAGACCTGCGGTATCACCGTGTCGCGCTTGAGGGAGGGCTGGAAGATGTAGATCAGTATATCACTTCTGATATTGCTGCATTCTGCGACTCGTTGTCGAGTATCTAGTATGCCAGATGAGCTTTCTCACCGACGGTCTACTCACGAAGGCCATTCATAGCGGAAATTTGCTCAAGCCTTCCTTAGATCTGCTTCTCTTCACCTCGCAGCTCTCGCGTACTCTTGGATTCCGCGGGACTATCTTACTTGGTGTCAACTATTATCTCACGGCGAAGATTCTACGCGCAGCGACGCCCGCCTTCGGTCGTCTGGCCGCAGTGGAGGCGCAGCTAGAGGGAGAATATCGCGCTGGAATGGGCAGAATAGATCGAGAGAGCGAAGAAATCGCGTACGTACAAGCGACGTCCCCGTTCCTGGACATACTCACTATTTATGTACAGGTTCTATGGCGGCGGGCTGAGAGAACGTAGCATTCTCCGTCGTGCATACTTGCGCCTCATTAGTCATATCAATTCAATATACAAAGTAAATGGTTGTACTTATTATGTATGGCGCCATGACGAATGTTTCTTGTCTGTCTCAGATTCGCATTGCATATGAATGGACGGAAGACTTCGTGATCAAATACCTCTGGAGCGCTGCAGGGTACTGTTTGATTGCAGTCCCCGTCCTGCTCACTCGGCGAAGAGACGTTGGGGTGCAAATTGGCCCGCCTCAGCACCGATCGAGAGTCAACGATGAGGTCGCAAATCGCACTGAGAGTAAGCTTCATTTATCTTTGTTGAAAGTACTTGGTTGGCTCATAAGGAACACTCTAATTCTTGCAGCATATATCTCCTCGCGCCGGCTGCTCCTCTCTCTTGCTGATGCTGGTGGTCGTGTCATGTACGCATATAAAGACTTACTCGAGCTCGCGGGACTCACGACACGACTCTACACTCTGCTTTCTACGTTGCACAACCTCCCGCCGCTTCCGACGAATATCGACGATCACTATGTGGACCGGATTGAGCTGAAGCATGTCGATGTCGGCATTCCTGGGACCGATGCCCTCGCGCTCACTACGCCATCATGGATACTTGTAAAAGATTTGTCGCTGGTGCTCCGGGAAGGGGAGCACCTAATGATCACAGGCAGTAATGGCGTTGGAAAGACGGCTGTTGCACGTGTGCTTGCAGGATTATGGGCGTCACAAGGTGGAGGAACTGTGCGGAGGCCTGCAGGGCGAGCGGGCGTATTTATCGTTCCCCAGCGAGCATATATGGTTACGGGAACGCTGCTCGATCAGTGAGTGATCACCCATTCTCATGATCCTAGCAGTGAGGTTGACGTATGACGGATGTAGGGTCATCTATCCCCACGCGTTCCCTGAGTTCATAGAATCTGGGAAGACAGAGAAGGATTTGATGGATATACTTGCGGCTGCTAACTTGGCATATTTGCCCGCACGAGAAGGAGGATGGAGCACACGAAAGGAGTGGAGAGACGTTCTGAGTGGGGGAGAGAAACAGCGGGTATGTGTCTTTGCCGGCGCATATTATTGTTTATCTCATCCGCTGTAGATGGGCTTGGCGCGAGCGTTCTACCACCGGCCAAAGTTTGCGATATTAGATGGTACGTTCAAGTCTGCGTGTTATGCATGATAATATATCGATCATGATGTGTTGTAGAATGTACAAGTGCCGTCTCTAGCGACGTCGAAGGCCGAATGTACGAACATGCTAAGTCGCTGGGAATCACGCTTATTACGATTTCCCTGCGGTATGCACCCCTCGTATTGTATCAAATGTAATGGTAGCTGACTGATTTTAGACCGTCACTAATGCGATACCATACCCAGCTCCTCACTCTGGCTGGAGACGGCACGGGGAAATGGACACTTTCCCGTATCGGCTCCGCAGAGGAGCGCATGGGGATCGACCGGGAAATCATCACATTAGAGAATAAGTTAGCGGAAGTTGAGCAGTGGGAGAGAAGGGTGCAGGAGTTAAACCATATGCTGTCGGCACAGATTCAGTAGGACGCTGGGATTTGGAATGAACATGTTGCAGTTAGTCGCCAGGTCTCCTAGCCATATCATCGGTGGGACCAACGACCACGTGCATGCGCAAGACTTGAGCTGGCTCGACGACGACAATCTCAGCCTTCTGGGATTACAAACTTGTCGAAAAAGTCATTTGTCTCAACAGTCAGGAGTCTTGGTGTAAACACATGCCAGTGAAGCGGTGGCTGCCAGGGCATAAGGATTATGTTTTGGACCGTACTGCACCCCTTCGATGTACACAGCGACTGGCAAGCACCATTCACAAGCTAGCTATGGCCATGACAGGTGAATCGGTAACGTCCGAGTCGGGGCGGACTGTCCGCCCCACAGTCCAGACTTGCTTCGGTATGACCTTCTGCTACGCTACGCCACATGTAGGATTTTTGATTTGAATGCCAACATTGGGATAGTACGATGTCCTGAAGATACCAGGGTTAGTATGCTCAACTGCGCAAAGCCTCAATGCAGCTCGATCTGCACTCTATGTTTTATGGAGTAAGAATAACACCTATAAATGCGAATTATACAATTTCTGGTTCGGTAAACGTACACGTACATTAACAAAATGACAAAGGTCCAACCTGCTGGCCTGAGATGGTATCAATTACTATACTACATCTTGTCACAGTGGGGGATACATGGCATTAGCATGGAGAGACCAAGTCGGGTCCAATACTAGATCGTGACAGTATGTCCGGTGACAGTCGGCTCTTGGTGTAAGCCAGATCCGGGGATCGTATTGGAGATACCACGAAGGGTGAAAAAGGAGATGGTGGCCAGCCATTGTATTCTCGATCGCTGAAGGTATGGTATGTCGTAGCAGAGCCGCTTTTCATGGAATTGTCTTCCAGAACTGCCTTCTTGTAAAAATCCAGCTTGGATGCGGATCGAGGCCGGGTTGAGATTTCAGCTTTCTCTGATTTCTCTGAAAAGACCACGCTAGTGATCACGTCGTTCAAGGACTCGTGGGGAAGGTCTTTGCGATTTACTGCTCTTGTCGTGATCAAGATCGGAGGAATTGCCTGTGCGGATTAATGGCTTAATTATGTAGAAATTCGATATCGTGGCGCTGACCTGTATCTGGCCCAGAAATGGTAGGGTTGTAGCTTGTGCTGGGCCATTATTGACCGCAAGCATTATGATTGTCACTAAAGAAATTATTGCGTATAACGATGCTGATTCCACTAGAACGCCGACAACGTCTACCAGAAGTGAGGAGCGATAGACGATGCGAAGAATCCGGCCGACAATCATTGCTGTCAAGATAATATTGAGTGCAAGAGATAACGAAAGGCATGCGAAGACGGCTCCAGTCGGTGTATGCGTCCATATGTTTGTGATCAAGGATGCGAAAGACGTCGTGAAACAGCATCCGAGGACTAGCATAGAGAATCGATGAGATATTCGTTGAAGATTGAATCGTACGTACCGACCATTGCAAGGAAGCTTCCGACGGCCCCCCATCGGAGTATCCGGATGTCTTGGAAAATGATGCAGAACCTATACAACTGTATCTCATTCAGGCATCCCTTATATGAGCGCTGCACGGCGAGCGTACCAGCAAGCCATCGGATGTCCAGCTCAATAATAGGTATCTGCGACAAATACAGACTCAGGGATACGACCGGAAAGCAAAAAGGCGTTGGGCTCACAACGCTGTTAACGCGAGACTCATGGAACTATGGTCGTGCTCCTCGAGGTATGCTATTGGATCGCCGACATGTTCGTGGTTCCCGAAGAACACAATCATATCCCACGTCAAGTACAAAGCCATCGTGATCGTCGCCAGTGTCAGGAGGGAGCAAATGTATGCGAACATTTTCCAGTTCAGATGCTTTGTACGAGGCGGGCGGAAATAACACCTTGTAGTTTCAATAAACAAGCAGATATGAACCCCTAGAAAGATCGTTCAGCTATGTGCTGTGTATATCGAGTGAGCACGTACCATAGACCGCCGCCGACATCGTTAAGCCAAGGACGTTGGACCTGTGAATATCAAGTGTCGAGCTGGAGATGAACGGGACAGCGCAAGACATGATTGTTCTCAGTGGTAGAGATGCGATGGGATACATATATGTTCACTCCCGGTGGTACCCTACTGTACCTATGCTGGCCTGGCATAGAAAGCCTCATGTCTTCCGGAATCCTGTCGATCTGAGGCCATCATAATGCGTCAGGTAGTGTACAATTTCACGTATGAGATAGAATGCGCTGAAACTGATAACTGTGGTATTCGCCCTTGTCACAAAGAAAGCTGTGAAGGATCGGAGATATGCGTAACCACGCGGGTATCTGGTATGTGAAATGCGAGGACACCTAGGCGCCGAGGTCCACTCATAATTAGGGGGGACCGAATCGCACACACGCAGGCGCGAGGATACCGGAGCATTGAGGATTGTGAGGAAGGCGAGAATTCATTGTTCTATGCTCATTGAGCATTCAAAACGTAAATTCATGCTCTATTGTGCATGGGCAAGGTCGTCTACTACATCAAAGATGCGGTCCAACCACATGTCTAATATGCCAAATTGCGTAGCAGATTCATCGCCATGCGCCGAATTTGCCTCCTTAGACATATCTGACATAGGAATCAGCTACAGCACCACAATAAATGACGTTCCGTACCATTACTCCAAATCGTTATTCGAGACCGAAGCGGATCTAGAAGCGAGACTCTCACATTCCGTAAGTTGTCCTGGTCTCTAATACCCGTCTACCGCGTGGTCAGACAACGCGTCATATTACGAGTATCCGTAATCCGAGCTTACCCTATTACGCACATCTTTCATCAGAAGAACATAGTACAAAGCCAGACATTCAACCAGTCTCAATGGTTCTGGAGAATCCAAGAAATCATCTGCTGAGATCGCCTTGGTGAATAAATCAGGAGGATCCGGCCGTAGTATGATCTGGGCGAATGTGTGTAGGAAAATGGGCGATGCAAACACATTCTGTTTAGACTGGGCGCTGTCTGGAGGTGCTGCAAGTGCCTCAAGCACCGCCTCCCTGAGTAACCCAACCAGAGCGATACGCATTTGGGGCGAAGAGTCGGCATCAGTGAGAAGCTCTTGAAGAAGCTGCAGCCGAAACATAGATGGAGCTAGAGTAAGGACAGAGGAAAGGAGGCGATAGAGTTGGTGACGTGTCGACGGATCCGGGTGCACACCAGCCACCAAAGGGAGTAGATGCGCAAGAGGGACAAGTAGATCCAGCGAGAGTTCTGAGCGCGGTGAATGTGATTTTAGAGGAACAATGGTCCGTATCAACACAGAGATGACCTCGTCGAGGATCTTGTTCGATCGGATGCACATGATAATAATGGGAAAGAAAACGGTGAGAATAGGGACGGAGAATTTGTACGAAGGCGCGTGCGCAAGAAGGATGAAAGAGCCCAATGATGGATTCCGTTCACAAGTGTCGATTGTCAGATCCAGCAAATGGCCAGCTTTCTGCAAGTGTACTCAAATAACTAAAATTTTACGGAATCTATAGGAAAAAACTGACCCAAACATCGTGAACAACATCTTCATTCCTCGAGGAATGGTCTTGTCCGGGAGAAGATATCACAAGCCTTGAAAAATTCTCTTTGAACGCAGCTTGCGCGAGGTTCGCCTCGATATGTATAGCGCATGCTTCTAGAGCAGCGCCCAGAAACGTGGTCAAGATAATCTGACAGACGTTATTCGCGCACTTATTCGCGGCATGTAATCAGAGACATACAGTTATCGTTGATTTTTCATCTCCATCGAACGCGGGGTCAGACTTTGCCCACCCATATGCAGATGTTACGAGGGCGGATGCTGCAGTGAGAATGGCTCGATTTTCCACCGCGTTGCCAGTGGGTGCCCGAGACATAATGGACTGTAGCTCAGAGAACAGGGGTCGAACAACTTCACTCGGGGATTTCTTTCGCTTCGGTAAGCGAGGAATCGCTACAGTTCATCAAAACTACGCTGTTGCCGGTGGAAGGCTGACTCACATTGGTTGAATATTTGGATGAGCCGACAGATCTGCTGAGGAAATGAGAGGGTACCACCTTCGGCATCGGCATCGGCATCGTCATCTATATCCAGGACGCGGTTTATGTTTTCAAGAACTTCCATTGCTGCCATTATCACTTCCTTCGCGCTACACGCTCGGTTCATCAGAGAAATAATCTCCTCGGAACCTAATCTAGGGCAGGGTATAAGGAGAGGAAGTAGTGTCAATGGTTCCTGTATTGGGTTAACGAGTTGCTGCGATACTTGCAAACCTAATACACACGAGATATGTGGCGGCATCAGCATTCTCCACCGCACGGACTATCTGCTCTAGGGTGCATGTTGATTCGCTGTCACGCACGGCAGATGTTATGAGCGCGATGAGCGCAATACTGATATCCTGAAGGCTGCTGTTATGAGCATATTCGGGTGCGGCGCCACCATTGATACCTACTACGTCCATATGCTCATCAGACAGACGTAGCTCTTCCCGGAGATTGTTCCTAATGTGTTGAGTCGTCATGCGTACACTGACCCGGAGTAAAAATGAAAGCTCAACGAAGTCGGAGATGTGGATAGAGTAAATAAAAGGCGAGTCCCAGTCGACCCTTGGCAATTATGACCTCGTGACCATTACTTTTATGATAGGGCGGACCAGGGCGGATCGGGCCACTGGGGGCAGACTGCGCATATCAGTTTCCTCAAGAATCTGACATACATATATATTTCCGACGTGGATCCGACCATGGTGAACTTACTGTAAGGGTAAACCAGTATGTATAGGAGAGCCCCGCCGTAATAGCCTTTTAAAAAGACTTATTCAATCTATAACAATAACAACGGAAGGGTACGTGCTCTAGAATAACTTTAGCAATAAAATGAATGTCCATTATCGTACGGTAGAAGTACTGGGTATACGATAGAAGTACGATCTGTGAGTTCGAATCGAGGAACAGCACAAAGTAACGTCATACAGTAGGGAACAAATCGAAGCAGGCTGTAAGGTAATGGTTGAAGCAGGAGCGGATAAAACATTCATCGATAAGGAAAGTATGGTAAAGAAAGTTATGGTAAGTGTTTACTAGAATCATTGAAAGGCACCGGCATTGGTTGGATCAACGGAGCGAACAAGTTAGTTTTCGGAGAGTACGCGGCCTCTGTGGTCAAGACCGAATACTAGCAGAGGGTATCATCAAGTACATAAACACCCAGAACGAGAGACAGAAACGTACAATTGGCCAGTTCGCGGACACTCAAGCCTGAAAAGTGATGTAGTGAGAAGGCGGTATCGGAACCAGTAGAAAATATCCACTTACGTCCAATCTTCTTCCCGGTACCCTCGCCGAGACTGCCGTCAGCTAAGTTCTTCTTTCGCTCTTGTAGTGCTAACACACGGTCTTCGACGGTGTCCGCTATAACCAACCGATGCACGAAGACTTGGCGGGTTTGGCCAAGACGGTGCACACGATCGAAGGCTTGGCTTTCAACAGCCTCACTCCACCCAAGATCGAGCGAGATCACGCCTGGAAACATGTATGGAGGGTATGAGCACAGACAAGCACGAAGGCAAAGAATGACGAACGATTAGCACGCGTAAGGTTGAGTCCTACGCCACCGCACTTCAAGCTATCGGTTTCCGTGATAAGACAGAATCGGAAATAAAGCAAATTGGACTAAATACCTCATGAGCATTATGGTTGCCTTGTCCCTGGACATGAATACGCGAACAGCCTGGTCACGTTTCTTACGATTCATGTCGCCCTGATACCTGGTCCAGGGATGAGGCTAAATCTAGACAACTAAGCATGCGACTTACTTGACATGCAAGAATCCATTCTCAGTCAAGTAGTCGGAGACGAGTTGCAGGCACTGTGTCCATTGGGAGATCACCAGAGTCTAGAGAACTCTTATCAGTGTTTTCTCGTCACAACATGGCGCGTCTGCAGTTTTTACCTTTTCGTCGGAATGTGTCTCCGCCCATAAACGCAGGTTCTCCATCATATGCTGTAAATGGCAAATAAGGACGCAACAAAATCATTAAGGATCTGTCAGCTCACTTTCATCTTGGTGGATGGCAGGAATTTCGGCATCAATTTAATCTGCTCAGGGGGAGCATCAACATCCGGCTTTGCACCACAGATCACGTCGGGATCGATATCATCGTCGTCGTCGTCTGAGATGACGATAGCACGACGCTTGCTCAGGCGTTGTTTAAGAGCGCGCCGAGTATCCTTCTCTTCTTCGTCCTCGTCGCTTTGGACGATAAAGTCGCTCATGTCGCCATCGTCACCTTCGTCACCTTCGTCATCCGAGTCCATGAAATGCCTCTGCCGCAGCTTTCTCTTCCGTAGGATCCTTCCAAGCTTAGGGCGAGCCTCTTCTGTAACATCATCCAGCGTATCTAAAACATTGGTTGCCTCGCGAGCCTCACTACCTTTTTCCACATCGCCAGTGTCGTCATCATTCGGGTCAAAGGCACTGCGCGAGAATAATTTCTGTTTCGAGATGGTACCACGACACGATGGACAGGATCGCTCGTCAGATTTGTACTTCACTTGTTCGTCAGCGCTCTCCGCAGCCTCGTTGTCGAAAACTTGATCTAGTAGACAGTGTGAGTGGCCTGTAGAGACTTGAGATATGATATACGTACAAATACAATCTCTACAGAACACATGGCAACAGGCTGTGACGACTGCGTCCGTAAAAGCATCGTAACAGATGGGGCATTCTTCGTCCTCCACAGTTGCATCGGCGGACTGACCAAACGAAGGTAAGTAGATTACATATACTTACGACTTCTACGATAGATTTACATACATGCTTCTCGGCTTCCATACGCTGTGCCATAATCTGCGCCATCTTATCCTGCATTTTCTGCACAAACTCTGGCGAAACTAGTTGAACAGCACGACTGAGCTCATAACGTTTGTCGTGCTTGCGATCGTTGAGGTCAGTAGCAGAGATGAATGCCGACCCTCCTTCTTGAATCAAAGACGGATGGGAGCAAACTTGACGTAGTCTCAGCAATAGCACCAGGACTGGAGACAGAAACACAAATGAGCGTTAGCCAAACGTCGTACATTGCAACATACTCACCCTGATGGTAATTTCTAACAACATATCAGTTGACGAGCGCTTACAGCATATCCTACTTACTTGAGCACGGTGCCAGCCCTCAGGTACCTGTTGAATATAGCTTGAGACTTTTGCTCGACCTGGAGACTATGTAAGTGCAAAATGAGCAGACGATACCAATGCACTCGCCATCTTGTAAATGTCTCTCTCTTCAAGGGAGAACTCTAGTTTCGCGAGGATCGTCTCCTTAACTGGAAGTTCAATCAGTCGCTTTCCGTCTAGCATCTGATCAAAAGATGCGTGAGCGAATATATGGAAAGAGGCCTTTTGCCTCACCGAGTCTTTCTTCCTGCGCAGTAACATCGATGAGAAAATCGCCTGCAGACGTGTCGTGGCTAGGACAGCTGATCGAAATGTTTTAGTAATTACTGTGATTTTAAGGCAGGTATCCTCACGATTCTTCTTCTCTAATTTAGATATATGACCATTGAACTCGGTCCAATCATACCAAGGGCGAGTTTGCAAGTAGCGGAACAATCCGTACGCATCGGACAGGGAATTAATGATAGGAGTCCTGGCGAGAAAACCACTGTCAGCATGAGAATCGACTAGTAAGACTAGCCATTCTTACCCAGTCAGGCACCATCTATAAGTCGAGTGTAACTTTGTGACGGCTCGAGAGACCCCTAGTATTTGGTGAGTCAGTGCTCAGCTAACCAAAATTGGGACATACTTGTGCGCCTATTCCGGATGTTTTGTGCTTCATCGAGTATGACTCTGTACCACTGCAAGTCTTGTCAAGATACAATGATAGAGGGAGCATATAAACTACTGACGTCTATGTCGAACAATAGCCCCACTGGTAGCTGATAGATAAATGAATGGTACACGCCATGAAACAATGACTACGAACGCTGCTGAGTCTTTTTCTTCGACGTTTTCCTGTCATCCTCGGAGTTACTTTCAATAAAGTCATCGAGCTTGCGTTTCCTCTTTGCTTTCTGCTTTGCCTTCCTCTCTTCCGCTTCCTCGTCAGGCCATTCTAAAGCAAGTGTCTGATCACATGTAGATTTTAGTTATATAAGCGGACAGCCACATATGCATCTCCCTTACTTGAAAGGTAGTCAGCACTACATCGTACTTCATCAGCTCCTTCTTCTTCTTTGGTTTCCCGGGACCTGTGGAAGATTGAGGCTAACGTATGCGAAAGAAGCTCGATGGGACAACGAACCATGATATATCAAACACTTGACGTCACAGTTCGTCTTCGTCTCAATTTCTAGCTGCCATTGGTCCAGAAGAGCCACTGGCGCGACAATCAAGTTTGTCTTGCACAGCGGGTCGTCGGATTGGTTGCGAACCATGACAGCAATCCTAGTGGACATTAATTAAAAACAACCTATGGATACAACACTATAACGTACATCTGAACGGTCTGTACCGCAGCAACACCGATTAGCAGACTATTTATCCGATCGACGAGACACATACCTTTCCAAGACCCATTTCGTCGCTCAAACAACCACCCTTATGTACACTCTTCTCTTTGTCAAGCATCCAAGCGACACCTATAGCTTGATGAGGCATCAATGCCACTTCCATCCCGTCAAGAGGTCGGTACAATCCATCGAGACCAAGAGCATCGAGCGCCTTGTCAACTCTAGCGTTCCCATCGAATTGTTCGGCATTTCCAGCAGCAATCAAAAACTTATCGATACTGCGCAACACAATTTAGTCTATATATGCGCCATTAACAAGACTGAGAATTCTTACTCATCAGCACGAGCTACTGGACCTGCAAAGCTGTCCCGTCCGCGTCCGTAGAAATTTCCGTCTTCATCGAAGCGATCATCGCCTCGTACGAACGAGCCAGAAATATCAAGCGCATAATCCGAGCTCCCATCTGCCCCTACGTGTACTGGAGAACTCGAGCTCTCAGCCTGAAAAGCGTCCGCAAGCATACCAGGAGAGACGTGGTCCCTGGATCCAGATATCGTAGTCTGCAGTGCCGTAGACGGTGTCATAGAATTGTATCCCTGCTTCAGGTCTCGTAGTTCTCTGAGCTGTCGCTGATACTGGACGATTTGCACGAAGTCTGCGTCTGTCTTGGAACGTTTTTGCTTTGCCTTGGCGAGGGTATTTTCTAAACGGTCCATTTGGGTGTGGACCTCTGCGAGCCTCGCGCGCGTATCTGTGGCGGTGGAAGTGGAAGTGGCCGCATCAGATGTGGTCAAACCTAATGACTCCGTGTTCCGATTGGCCACAGAAAGTGGTTTCTTCGTAGTCTCCGTCTTCAATTTTTTGGACGACAGGATATCCATGTCAGTATCATCCTGAACAGTATAATTACGCTTGCGTGAGCCTGTGGTGTTTGGATATTCCGCTTTCATAGTTGATTTACGGGAGCTTGGAGCAGCAGAAACGCTACGGTGGCGGTGGCGCGGAGTCGAAATGGGCGTGGTTGCCGTACTTCCGGATGCCGACGACGACTGTGACACGCGCAAGTCGAGCATATGCAATAGTTTTGATTTGGAAGGTGTCGAGACGCTGTCGCCGAATGCCTGGGCGCATCAGCACTTCTCATTGATAGGGGGTAACGACTCGGGACGCTTACAGAGTCGGTACCTGACGCGTCCTTGGTGCACGCGTGAGATTGGCGCGAACCCATTACTTCAAGTTCTATTAGGGCAGCAAGAAAAACGAGTATTCAGAAGAAAATAATCTGATCAATGAACGTGAGTGGCAGACTATACAAACGTTTGAAGGAGTGACTCGAATTCTTGTCCGAGCACGCGTATAACCGAAAGACCGCGTTATTTGTCTATGTTTGGATCGCGACGCATCAACTCCTCGAAACGGTCATAGCGGGTGGCCACAGGTGGCCACGTTAATATCCGACCCGCCGCGAAGCACTGCCTCTTGAGTCTTCTGAGCCGGCACGCCCAACCCACGCCTGAGAAACACCCTCGAATTGTAATGCCTTCTGTTCTTCCTAGAGCTTTTACTGCACAACATGCTACCATGTAAGGTTTTGCCTAGTCATGCTGAAATCTGGACCGCATTGCCACGTTGAGCAGCCAGTAAAGCACAGCTTGAGTGGAGGAGTTCCCGAACTTCAGATGCACTTTGGGGAATAGTCACTATCATGGTTCAACTAGAGGAGCATTAGCAACACTACTCGGTGATGTATCTCTGATTGGTATACCTGCTGGTGAAAGTAGTTCTCATCTGATGCTTACCACAGCAGTGAGGATATACGTGGTGCACATCTTACCGCAGACCATCAAATAGGTTTTTACATCGACTCCTCCCTGTCAAAAAAGCCCGCTGAGTAGATGATGAGAAACAAGTGTGAACTCCAGCAACAATCAATCGCACTTAGAGCTCACAATCCGCAAATGATGTCCACCTTTCGATGCCTCAACCCCTACTCAGTATCTACCATCCATTGCGCCGCTATTGACGACAAGTGCCCAGAATGTGCCTTCGCATCATCTGAATAGACGCCTAAGCTGCTAAAAGCACTGAGCAGACTTAATCCGCCAGTAGAGAGCAGTGGAATCTCATCAACTGACAATGGGCTTGCGCTCGCTGCGATAACGGTCCAGGCTGCGTCCGAATCGCGTTGACAACTGTGAGATTGTCGCGAGAGATTGAAAGGCAATGACTGGTGACTTCTTACCGGCGTTTACGGGGCGCTACCACAGGTAGCAGGGTACGGTTTGTGCGACTGGCCCCTGCTCGAGCGCTGGGCCCCCGAGCACGAAAGGACTGTACGCTTGAAAGTCCGTAGTCGTTTTATCAAGTTCACCTTCAAGGCTTCACCAGGTCACCAAACATCAAATTCATCCCCCGGGCGTGCAGTGCCGCGCCAGGAGATCTCACACATGTCAGGCACGTTGTTTCGGCGGAGGCTTTTAACCTTGTATTTGTGACAACTCCATCTAACAAGTACACGGCCATGGTGTTACGATATATGAATGTGTCCATGACGATTACTTATTTGTCGCTTTAACAGTATTTTCGCTCGTTATCTCGCTTGCACTTATGGTAAGATACCGTCAGTGATTGATGTATCATTTGTCTTCCTGTTGCAGGGTACTGTTGCACAAATACTTGAAATGAGCTTCCAGCGTTCCGTTTTCCATTTCTCTTCCCTCTTCACGACCTTCTGCTTTGGCCATTGAGATTTCATTCCTTTCCTTCATCGGCTTGTTTTACCGCGCGGGGCGTGCTTTGGATTCGTTCACCATGGTGTCTCTAGTCTCAGTTCGCGATGTCTCTTCCTCAACGGTCATTTATGGGAGGGCGGAGATGGCAGGCATTGAAGTGAGGCAAGCTGCAATCACTCTTCACGAGCTATATTCACGGTGGTGCCGATAGAGTCTGGTGGCTGCGGGTGCGCTCTCAGGAGTGGCTGTGATGGCTTTGTTCATAGTGAGTAATATTTTCCGTCATACAACATGAATTCTACTGAGTTAGGATTCCATAGGTAATGGCCTTCAAACCGCCGTGCTATCGCAATACCCATGTCATCCCCCTTTTCGTCTCTCTACTGGTGGCCAATGTATTACAAGCAATCGCTTCGATGATGGACCTTCGGTGGCTCATGGATGGCGCGGTAGAAGCGGGTCGGTTCTGCAGTGTCCAAGGTGGCCTGAAGAATGGCGGCAATGTGGCAACTGCAGTTTGGTGAGCCATTCCATCACGTCAGTGACAATCCTGTGAACTCATCCACTACAGGTCATTCGCGCTGTCTCTGCACATATTTATGCTCCTGTTCTTGCGCCGGAGTATGAGTACTGCAATTTGTGTTATCGTGGTTGCTCTTGGTTGGTCGCTTGTGGTCATCGTCGTTATTGTTGGTCCCCTCGCGATTCAGACCTCGGCAAAGGGTGATTACTTCGGGCCGTCCGGTTACTGGTAAGTTCAACGTTTCTGCTTCTTCACTGTGTAAACATGTTCTCATGTGATGCTGTTGACAGGTGCTGGATCACACATAACTATCCCGAGGAGCAAACTTTCCTGGAGTACTTTTTTGTACGTGGCTGCCCTTCGTGACATCGGAACACAGATGTCATCTGATTTGTTGCCCTAGGAATTCCTTTCGGCTTCTTGTTCCATCCTTACGTATACAGCCATTATACTCCGTGTTCGCGGAAACTTGGCCGTCATCGATGGAAAATGGCGTCTTAGATTCGTTCCTTGAAACGAACGATGGCTTTTGAGTGTATGTCGCGACTACACCGACAACGCCATGATGAGTATTGCTGCTCGAATGGTCTGGTATGTAGCTATTTAACGTTCTATACCCTCGGTGGCTAAGCTACAATCTAGGCATCCCGTATGTCGCTCAATAACTTTACGCTTAATTTTTTATTTCTATACCCCTATCTTTTGTAGATTGCGTACACCATATGCCTTCTACCCGTTACCCTTGCGCGTTTCATATCTTTTGGCGGACGTGAGGTTCCATTTTGGGCTACCGTTGCCTCGGACTTCATCTTCAATCTCCAAGGTGCGTGCCCCTCATCGTCATTTGTCATTTTCCTTGAAAGAACAGATTGTATCGATGCAAATTCAATCTCTTCGCAGGTCTTGTTAATGTCCTTCTTGTTCTGTGCACTCGCCACCTCATACCGGACACGGAAACACTGCCAATTTTTGTTCCTCGCAAAGACATAGATCTTTCACAGCCTGAAGCATATGGTATCACTCCATTCATTTCAGGGAATTCAGTTCAAACGGAGAAGCCACTGCCTCACATTCCCTCCCATACTCTTATGTCGTCTAACGAAGCAGCTTTACCCATGGCTCATCTCACCCGCCAAGAGTCTAGGCTCAGTCAATCGACTTCGTCGTCAGTTGATTCGCATACGCCGATGCTCAAATAGTGAGCGAGGTCACCCTCCACGAATTAGAGAATTTCTTATCCCATATTCATTCGCAATGATCTGTTTCCAAACGTTTTCTCGATTTGGTGCCATCTGGCATCATTCTTACCGGCTCTACTTGCTGAGAACACTTCGGTGGCTCTGCTACTCTTTATACGTGCCACTGTTTTTCATCAGCTGTCTTTCGAGAACAATACCTGGACAATATGTTTGGGGCTTGTAGTTTACGTGACTTTGTTTTTGTGTCCTTGAGTAAGATTTTCCTTTTGATCGATGTGTTAGTGGTGTGGGCACTATTTATCTGTGGTAAGCATATCTCTCATGCTTGTCTACTCTAGGTGCGCTTACAATTCGATATTAGAACACTTGGTCGTGTTATGGTCGTTTGGGGCCTTGTGCATTACGTTGGACTATGTTGCTCGACGAGTCAGGCTTTTCTTGGGAAAATTATCTTGGCTTATTTTCGAGTGCGATGACAGAAGTGTTGGTTGCTAAACCGATGCGCCGATTCAACCACCTACGTCCTATGCTGGGGTACGGATATAAGGTGACCATTTCAATTGCCTCCGTACTTTCTCGGATTTTGTGAGTGGTCAATATCAGGAACCTCTCACTTGTGAAGGATATAACACTCGTACTACGCTGGGAAAAATATGATGCCTCATTTTGTGGTAACAGTAACGGCTTGTGGCGATCGGCTTCTGTCGAGCTTCTGTCGACGTCTTAGTACCTTCTAACTTATCCACAACAAACAACCAACGTGTATCGAGCCCCATGCTTCTTCCCCCAGCAGTCTACAAGGTGAGTTTGTGGTACTAAGAACTCGAGTTCAGTCAGCACAAGACCATATATGGAAAACTGTCCCTGACTTCTCGATTACACTTCAATAATCTGACGCTACATATAGAAAGATTCAAAACCTGCAAAATTCGTGGAGATGCATCCAAGGCATTTGATAATAATATATGCGCTATTGCGGAGGGAAGTTCGGTACTCTGAACAAAGAATCCTTCATCGGCCGTATTGGAATCTCGCAGCATGCGCTGTACGTATCAATTTTCATATGTCTGCATACGTATTAGTTTCCATGAACCTACACAAACAAGGTATTGCCACCGTTAGCACCGCTGCGATTGTTGCGGGATGCCGCGCCCATCAACTCGGAGCGCTTCCGGCAACTGCAGCTACATTCTGATCTAAGACAAATTCTGGTTGGCAGGATTCGCGATCGGGCTCACTAGTACTGTGTAACGCGGTACACTGGCAGTGCGTAAATTGTCTCCGCAGTATTCCGAGGCATGAATTAACGCTGCTACTTGCAGACGGGCTTGGCTGGAAGTCGGGCTCCGAACGCTGAGCATGCAGGATCGCACGCCCAGTCGCCGACCGACAGCCGCGTACTACAAATATGCACGACTCAGTCAACCAAGGTCAAGCTAAGTTGCACCTTCCCCCCGGTTCTAAATGGATAATCTCCAAATGATTCAAGTTACCGGCTTATCCTCAAGTGAGTATGCCAATTTGCGGGCTGGTTGGCAGAGACGCTCATCAATTGATATCTAAATCAATATGGTGTTCAGTATCTGCTCTTGTGTTTTTGGCATGGGATCTCATTGTACATGTTGCAGACGAGGTAAGACCTAATATCGTGCGCCATCTCGGAGACTAACGAGAGTCAAGGTCCAATATATATGGCGGTAATTCATTTGGGTGATTTGCGCCCTAAAGATTCATGGAAGATTCACAGATGGCCCAACAACTGGTGCAAGTGGCTGTACTGCTTCGTTCGATACTGCCCGCTGATCATCGAAGTGTCAGTCTCCTTCATAACGAAGTACCATCTTTAATTCATAGGCTCACTCTTCAGCGCCGTGTTCACCATATTTTCCAAGCCACGCTACCACTCCGACGTGATGTTCTCTTATGAGACGTGTGCCACAGCAGCCATCATCGAGGCAGTCCTTCAGCAATGTATAGTTAGTGCAGTCGCTGTTATTTCTATAATAAGAGGTGAGCCAATTGTCGTAAAAGCCAGTTCCTGGACGATGCTCACTAAAGGCTAGTGTTCATCCTCTACGAGCGAGACAAGCGAGTTTTAGCGGTTATCCTCGTCCTATACTTGGCAAGCCTTGGAATCTCATTCATAGCAATGATGATGCATGGATCCCAAATGCATTTTGACGAACTTTGTTTGGTCACTTTCGCACCTAAATCCATCATCGTCGCTTGGTACGTCAGTCATTCCGCCAAGGATCCGTGTGCTATAAGTGGGCTGATTGGAGTCGTTGTAGGGTCGTGCCCGCTGGCTTTGAAGCCTTGTTATCCACTCTAGTCATCTACAAATTTCTGCAAAACATTCAAGATCTCCCAGGACTATCCACCCAACCAATTTTATATGTCTTCACCCGAGATGCAGTATGGGCTTTCCTCTTAATGCTGGGTGAGTGCGCGATGTACGAGCAAAAGGAGCTTATCTCATGGCAGTAATTCAAAGCGAGTGCCATTGTCACGGCTTTGAGTTATACTGTCTTCCCGAGCGGGTTGTCCGGGAGCTTTTACTTGTGAGTTGGAAAGTCGTACAATTTTGGGCATTTCGCTAATTGCAGTCCCGTCTTAGTTGGAACATCTCACTCTCCTCATTTGCCGTGGGTGGCCCTAAAACACAATTCGTCAGACGCATATTGAATAATTCAATGCAGGGCTCGCACGTTCTACTCAATCTCCGTCAGGTGGGGGCAAATGCAGGCGACCTCTCATCCCCATCCCTCTCGGAATTAGACTTCGACAGAATGCATTTCGCTCCCCAATAAAACCCAGATCCTGACCCAGCAATACCAAATAAGTCGTAATAGTTATTCTTAGATTGCATCTAAGCAAGCAATCCATGTAAAAACACGAAGCCTATATATTGCTACAGATGTCGCACATTCCGCAGGTATAATAATTCTACAGGCGGGAACGAGGAGGCGGATCACGGTCAACGTAGCGAATCATCTTCGGGGTCAGCTGCTCGAGACTAGTCACACCGAGCAGCCGCATTCCTGTCTCTATCTCTTCCCGCAGTACTGGTGACAAGCATTGAATGCACAGAGAGCTTTACAAATAGACAAGAACAACATACTTTGGATTACTCTGAGGCAGCCCTCTTCACCCCATATGCCATTAGCATACAGAAAGGGCCTGCCGATACCGACCCCGCGTGCACCCAAACAAAGGGCCTTCAACACATCAGTCCCGCGCCGCACGCCTCCGTCGATGTACACCTCGTGATCTACGAGCAGGTCCGGGCAAGTTTGATGGAGTTCGTAGAGAAGTGTCATCGGCGCCGGAGAGCTACGTGTTAATTGCTCAGCTAGTACTCAGCTTCGAAAATGTGAAACGAAGCATACAAGTCCATTTCTCGTCCGCCGTGGTTTGACAGGATAATGGCACTAACGCCATATCTGAAAGCCTTCTCTGCATCCTTCAAAAAGATCGGTATCGAGTGACACATGAGTGTACAATGGAGAGTCCTACCTCGACACATTGAATTCCTTTGATAATGATCGGCAATTTGGTGATGCTCTGTAGCCATGGGATGTCCTCCCCTAGGGTATCAACCAATCAGCATGACCCCGCCTCCACTTGTGGATGTTATTTACAGCAGACGTCAGGGTCTTGATATCCAGAGATTGCCTGCGAATTTTTGAGCATCGCAAAACACGGGAGAAGTCTGAACATACATGCGAAACCCCCAATCCTCCGCCTGTGTCCGATTTGCCGAATGCTGCTGGCATATCCTATGCTTCTGCGTTAACAAAATCATTATTATCAGGGTACACTGTCAGCACCTTCAGGTCATCTCCTTTGGCCCGCTGATCAAGTTCACGCTTCCCAGGGACAGCAGCATCCACTGTTAGCATGATTGCCTTGAATCCCTGACTCTCCACCTTCTTGATTAGAACGTCTGACGCGGATCGATCCTTATTCATATACAACTAATGAAAGATCAGAAATATGTCGGCCGTACACCCGTCAAAATGCATACCTGAAAGATTAAATCCTGGCGGGGGAGCTTGACTGATACACATTCATCTGTCGAACAACTGGCGTTGTTGGAGATCTATTTAGGGATAAGCTAGAATACAGGTACCGCACAGAATGCTGAGACAACTGACACCCTGCAAGATACCTTCTCGTCCGGCAGCTCGTGTAGCGTTCATCTCACCATCTGGATGCCCAAGGCGCATCAGAGCTGCAGGAGAAATGTATATCGGCAGCGATGAGGGGAGGCCAAACATTGATCTTGTCGTGGATATACGCGAGATCTTATTCAAGCTGACAACGCAACCAAAATTAAGGAGCGTTCTGTAAACACAAGGTCAGAATATATGAAGACTTACACACGCGGTCGGAACCAGAACCGTTTAAATGAGGCAGTGTTCTCGAAATATGCTAGACCAGCGCTCAGTCTAGTTGCCGGACACGCAAGAACACATAAGAACTGACTATTTTCGTCATCAGCAGTCGAGCGATAGTATGCCCATGCAGTTTTTGTCAAAACGTTCTGAGCAAGTTCCTTGAGCAAAGACTCAGTTTTCACCTCAAAAGACATTTAAGATAGCACAAAGTCTTACTTCGATCTCGTTCAGGTTCAGGACCAGAGATGGATGAGGTATCAGCTTTCGGGCTTCTGCTACCCTCAACTCTTCTTCAGTTGGCTGGTGAGCATCCGTGGGCATAGTTGCTGGGTCAACGGGCCCCAGATGAGCCGCTATAGGTAGCTGCTGCAGTGTATCGGGAGGGTGAATTGGTACGAAAGCCTTGCTGTGTCGCAGATTATATCAGCCATGAATACGCACAGCTGATCCAACCTACGTCGCATCTTTTCCCGAGTTCCTGACAATAACCCCTGCGCCTCCAGGATGCCATTTCAGAACCGATGTAGCATCATACACTTGACCATTGATAATGACCCAGCAGCTCTCCGAGGTGCTGTGTCTCTGAACCTCCTGGTACGTGATATGCTTCTCTACTTGCACACTCGGGACAGGCGCTTTCCCTGGCGTATCGAGATACACAGGATGGAGAGCAGCATAGCCGATCTGCAAGAGGACGAACAGTGAGCCAGATATTCTGTTGTGTGAATGAAAAATGCACACGTATGCACCAAAGACAGCGCCTCCTGCAAATAGTCTGGCAAAGTACGAGGTTCGTCGTGAAAGTTGTCTAGTATGAGAGGCCAGATGGCGAGTACTAGCCCTCCGGATAGCACCTAGGTCTTGGATAGCCAGCCTTCCAGTCCGAAGCAACAAATGCATGGCAGAAACTTCTGCGCCGGGGAGCAGCGGAAATAGAGGGCGTTGGCCTTTGGGCTTTCATATATTCCGGTCGCAACTCGCTAGCAATGTGCATCTGAGCACGCTCGGACAAGCGGTCCGTTGTATAAAGTCACATGTGCGTCAAAGCAACACGGTCACGAGGAATGTAGCCGCATTGGCGCCCATCTCAGAAAGAGTAGCCAGATTCGAGTCGCATGCGCAAAGGAGGAACTAGTATGTATGCAGTAACATTTACGCACTAGTACTTGAGTGCCATCGGTCTCGATGATCTCGAGTGTGATTGGATAGATACTGGTAACTTCCGACCATAGTTATGAGCATCGAGTTCCTGTGTAAACATAGTAAGCTCAATTCAGATTCGTCGTTAACATTTACTGTCGTCATACTTTTACTGGCAAACAATCACAAGTTCGCAGGGAAAATTGTATCGTCAAAAACACTGAGCGGCGGACGCATTTCTACCGTTCCCTTATTCAGTGGCTCGCAGTTGTCAACTCGTATCCAGGTAGGTCGCCAGCATCTTAGAAGCTGACCACCGAGAGTGATACCGGGTCAAGTACCAGCAACCAGCCAACCTCAACGCCCGGTTCCCATGGGTAGATTCGTAATCGAGGAAGTTCTCAGACGCATTATGATTCTGCAACGGGTTTGACAGCAGGCTTCTAGTTGAAATCTACGCAAGCATCCGGACATTCTCAATTAATGATGCGTAAGTATGGCTCAGGAACTCTGCGGTCTCCCCTGCTTGGGCTTGTATCATGATAGTCAATATTGTTTGTGGTAGCTGTCATAAGAAAGACGCTCAGGAATTTTCCATGGTGTCCCGGATTTAACACAAGCGAATAATCGTACCGTAATGCCACTGGGTTCGTTCTGAGTGTTGAATGGTTGTGTCCGAAAGTGATCAGATTTGATTATCCATATGCAAATCGCTCATTCGCATGGCTTAACGAGACTACATACCTTAAACTCGAGGACATGGCTACATGGCGCCACAGTAGCAGGCTAAATAAGGGACGTAGAACTTAACACGCTATAGTTAATTAAGAAAGATGGCCGCCATCCGTGAGAGAGCCGAACCGAGCATGGCGTGGAAGTCTGGAAGATCAGAGGTCTGTAGTGGAACACACTTACCTAGTTGAATTACCCACGTACCCTGACTAAACCATTTCGCGAACAAACCACCATGCCAGGTATAAGATATTCTGGGTATTTCTATGGAAAGTCAGTCCCCGTGCTGTCCAAGAACATATTGTTCAACGACAGTACCATTCTGATCCTCTGAGAGCTGGACGTGTCGGCCTGTAGAGAGCCTCCCGACCAACTTGCGACCTGAAGCCATGCGGCATGGGTCTATGATGGAAGACGACCGTACACGCGGCATCTTTAGCGACGCAGGGGTTATGCAGGAGGGATACTTTATCGCTCTGGTTCCGAATGTCTCCCAAATATCGCTGGTGGTGGCATTTCACGTCGCATACCTGGTAGTGTCCCGAAACAAAATAGTTCATATCTGAGCTGCCCTTAGCTGCTAAGCATGGCGAATGGGCCGACGAGCAAATTTCAGCGAGAGATTCAGTATTGAGATCGGACCCCTAGAGTATCCGATAATTGTCGGCGCTTCAAATTCGCGGGATGTGCCCCGCGACCGCCAAATTGATCCCGTTAAATATGCCTGGCGCTCGAGAGAGACATGATAGGCACTTCTCGTTGTCGGTCTCCTCGACGGTTTCGCTGGCAGCAACCAAGGGATCGTGCCTTCTCACTGAGAAAGTCGGAGCGGTGCTCGGATGGCATACTCCGATAAGGACAGCATGCCGAGTGTTCTACATCCAGCTATCGACCCCTTGGACATCGCGTTAGCTGTCCCTGCGAATGAGTCTCCACTCGAGAGGCAGGCCAGGCTGTCGGCCGAGTCAGAGGCGAAAAGGATTTCGGACATGATCGATGAGGAGCTGCAGCGTCAGGAAAGAGCGGAGAAGAAAGGGCCAAGATCAGTGAAGATACTGCTACTCGGTACGCGCATACTTCTTCGCAGTGGGCTCCTTGCTAATGTCAAACGCTCACCAGGTCAAAGTGAATCAGGTACAGTGATAACTCTTCGACACGAAATGCCAATCTGACGTATTTTGCCCAGGCAAATCCACTACATTGAAAAGTGAGTAGAGATGCGCCGACTATGCATCCATACTGAGTACCGTCGGTAGATTTTCAGTTAATGAATTCGCCCAAAGTAAGCTTCAATGAGACCGTTGTGTTCGCTTACCAACAATCAAGTCCAATAGGCGTTCCGAGCCGAACGAGCCTCGTGGCGGGCAGTCATTCACCTCAATATTGTACGCTCCATTCGCATGATCCTCGACGTCATGGCGGAAGCACAAGCCACTCAAACAGCGGCTGGGTATGGTCCTCCATCTTCTATGTTGCGTCCCTCAAGCAGTCGTGATAACCCCAGCCGGCCAAGCGACCCCGACCAGCCCCTCTTGACGGCCGAACACTTGAAGCTAAAGATGCGCCTATCGCCGCTCCTCCAGGTAGAACAGACCCTGGTGCGCAAACTCACCCCGCCAGGCTCTGCAGAATTCGAAGCCACGCACCTGGCGAGCGTCACGAGTGGATATGTCGAGCGTGCCCGATCGAAGGAGGTTGCGGTGAATTCGCAATTTGCGTGGAAAAACATGTTCTCCCGATTTTTGCCAGAGTCGCGCGAGAGCTTTGACAGCAGTAGAGATGGGATCGACTGGGATGATCCCGATGTGAGTGTGTTTTTGTACGTGTAGATGCGCTACTGAGTGTTGTCAGGACCCCGGACGAATTATATATGCATGCGGGGAGGACATGATCCGGTTGTGGAACGATGATACTATTCGGAAGCTTCTGAAAATGCATAATCTGCGACTTGAGGATCGGTCAGGATTGTAAGTGAATATTTTTCGGATCGCCTATCTCGACTCACCATTTCAATGCAGTTTTCTGGACTCACTAGAACGCATCACAGCGCCACATTATGTGCCAGCCGATGGTACGTTCTGCGTTTACAATCTCGTGGCATTTTATAGACTTTGTATTTGATAGATGATATCCTTCGTGCTCGATTGAAGACACTTGGAATCACAGAATATCGATTTACTATCAAAGACGGTAGGTGTAACTTTTGAGGTCCTACGTAAGTCGCTGATATTTTGTCATGAAGGCTCATTGGGTGGATCAACACGTGAATGGAAGATCTTCGACGTCGGCGGTCACAGATCTCTAGTGAGTATTCCTCCTCTAGACTTTCACCTGAGCTGATGGTCATGTATCATAGCGAGGTCAGGTCTTTCATCATCAACAAAATAGAATACTAATATATGCGACTCCTCTCTTGTAGCGGCGTGGGCTCCATATTTTGATGATATGAAGTGAGTAAATAGCTATTGGATTGTTCAAGTTGTAACTGATCCCTGCAGCGCCATACTGTTCTTGGCACCAATCAGCTGCTTTGACCAGATGCTCGAGGAGGACTCGACGGTGAACCGATTAGTTGCGTTTTGCTCACATTGTCAGAGAGTTTTCACTGACTGTATTTTCGTATCAACAGGAAGATTCTGTCTTACTCTGGAAGTCTATCGTTTCCAATCCCTTACTCTCGAAGACCAGCCTTGTGTTGTTATTGAATAAGATCGATATCTTCAAGACGAAGTTGGAAGCGGGGATACGGCTCGCCAAGTATATCGTCTCATATGGGAATAGACCAAATGACTACGAGACTACATCAACATGTACGTTAAATGACTTGATTTATTCTTTATGCCCTGCCTCACGTCGTCCAGACCTACGGCGGAAGTTTGCGCAGATACACCAGGATCGATCGCCTGAGCCCCGCCCGTTCTATTGTCATTTCACCAATGTTATTGTAAGTCGACTGCCTTCCTTCTCAGGCTTGGTGAATGACGCGAATTTACGCCAGGACACCAAATCTACCCGCTTAATACTCGCGGATGGTAAGTATAAGTACGTTATAGCCGTCCAGTGGTTCTGACATCTGCGGCCTAGTGCAAGATACTGTCATCTTGAGAAATCTACAACAGAGTAGCTTGATATCGTAGTGTACGTAGTGGGACATTTGTTGTATATTTTACATTTCTTGGATTTGTCTGAATGTATGTAGTATTGTTGCTTCCTCTGGAAGCAAACCTTAACCCGAATTCCGGTCAATTGTGGGCCGGTGCCACCAAGGCTCAGATCGTGAATTCTTGGACGACCTCGCCCTTCCACGTTGTGCGCGGCCAGTACGCTTCTTAAGTTCCCCTCTGACCATCTAGCCTTTTATCTCTCCACATATCTTGTTTTTATCTTGGATAGCTGAACTCCTTCGTCTCCACCAACATCATGCACCTGAGCTCCTGACTAGGTATAGACCACATTTATTTCATTGCTTTCAACAAATTGCACCCAGTCTCTGGATCTTGTTTATTGGCGATATGCCTATTGTACGAGCTTTGGAGAGTATTGGATCAGGGTCGGCCGGATCATCATTGTCATTGGCTTCACAGGTGTGTCTTGAGATTTGTTTACATTCTGCATTTTTTGCTGCGCATGGGAAATTTGACTGGATCATGTTTATATATGAAGTGGAATGAAAAAAGTTCTTTCCCCACTGTTGTTAAAATTTGAGATGAATTCTGCATTTCTTGTTGGTGGGCATGGTCAATCAAGTCATGTAAGAGATGTGGTGTATTCCTGAGCCCGTCCGTAGTGCTCATGGAGTCGAGGAATCGCTTTCGTCCGTCTCTGAAATCAATGAATGTCGTTTGCGATTTCATACTGACTGTCATGATGGGGGTATTGCCTTAGTCCACCCGATACTCGGACAAATTGGAAGATTTGGACGATGTTATGCGAACAGTCTCAGTAGGTAAGCAGCCATATGTGCACATAGCCAGGCAGAGCTGACACGATATACGGTCAGACAATACCGTACAAAGCAATGCACAATCCATCACGCAGATCGGAACGCCATCATCTGGGAATATACCCGTACAGATGTTGGGAAAACGGAAATCGTTGACAAGGGAGGCGACATTGATTACAGACGCCGTTGGGCCGACGAAGCTGCGCAGAACATCGAATACAAACTCTCAGCGGACAAATCGATCAACTGGGCTGTCGGATACAGTGGTGTTATCCACAGAAGCATCTCCTCATCGATCACATTATGTTCCTGCCGCCCTGGTGGGGAGCTCTGCCCCCACTCCAGCAGCTACATCAGAGTTTCAGCCTGTGATAATCGTGAGCTGCTTACCTTTATGTCCTTGTAAGCTGACTACTCAATCGTATATGTAGGCCTACTCACATGCGCTCCGTGGATATGTGGACCCGCTCGTGTGGGGTGCGCAGTGGGAGATCTCTAGATTCGTAAGTGCGGGGGTAGGCTACGACAAATTCCCGATTCACAATCTGGTCGAGCTGCGCGACCTGAGGACGAATGCCAAGTCAGCACCCGAAGTGGCAAGAATGGTTGCCACTGAATGTGGTCTAAAGTCGGCAAGTGCAAAAGAGCTCCGTGATAGCCCGTTCGCATCGGTGTTTGCAAAGGAGAATAGTGTTAAAGTGCGTGATTTGGATTATGAGATGAAATCGCCATCTTAATGTCATGCAGCACCCATGGGATGAGCTAGACAAGGAAGCTAAAATCCTCTCTCAAGCAGTACACGGTGGCCTCGGTTGTAATGAATCTGAGCTGTTTCTCCTTGATGATCCATGGTATGGGGGACGGGTCCATTTTACAGGAAAATTGGTCTTCGTAGCTGACACTGCAGGAAATTCGAGTTATCAAGTACGCCTAGATCGCCCGGTCCTTGGACCGTCATGTGAATTTTCTCGCCGATTTGGGTCATATCAATTCATTCGTATCCGCATACCCAAAGACATACTCAACCAATCGGACAAGAAAGGCTGGGGCGGTGGTAACTTGTTGGAGTATTTTCGCCGGCCGTTTGTAGTGAGCAGTCGGGTATTCAGGGCGTTTTATTCCAAGGAGCACAACGTATTCCTCGTCCAAACTAACGAGTGCTGGGACGGGACAAGAATTGTTGAGGCAAAGCCAACTTCAAGACCACCACACGATCAAACACTTTCCTTTCTCGAGTTTCTGAAGTTTCACAATAACATGGAGCTCAATCGACACCAAGTAAGGAGAATACTCTGCATGCCCGAAGGCTGCTAACTGTGTATAGACAATGGTCAAATGGGCCGCGCGCTTCGCTCTCGGACTCTCGAATTCTGTGCCTGGAGCACGAGTACGACCATCTGAGATTGCTTTTGAGGACGATATCAGTAAGTAAGTCTACAGTATCTATATAACTACTTCTGAAAGACAGTTATAGTTTGTGCCGCATGGGACGGCAATGGAAAAGCGCCAAATGAACAGATCATGACCGACGGCTGTGGTCTAATAAGCACGGATATTCTACAACTCATCGCTGATCGGCTAGGCTTATCCTCTGTCCCGACCGCGATTCAAATGCGCGTGTGTGGCAGTAAGGTCAACTATATGTGCTTCAGATATGTTATATTGCCTCAATGCCTTGTACGGTTTTTCAGGGCATCCTCCTCGCGCACCCGCATCCACAGCGGCCGAGCTTGGCCTCATCTCCGCGCGTATGGCTGCGACCATCTCAGGTCAAAATTAAACACTCTACGACAAATCAGTTGCCCGCGAACCTGGACCCCGCGTTATGTACGATCGATGTACTACGTCCTTCCCGATTGACTAGCCCAGTCCGGCTCTCGACCGAGACTATTATTAATCTGGCCGAGAACGGGGTGCCCACGGATGTGTTTATCAACCTCATGAAGGCGACCTTGAAAGCGAAAGTACACAGCTTGACTAATTGGGAGGGTAGCTTGGGCCTATTCAAGTTATGGATGAATGTTGCGCGTGCAGGAAATGTTTTCATGGCGCGACTAGCACGAGAAGCTGCAGGAGCTGCTCGTGCAAAAGGTTTTGTTTTCGAAGATTTTGTCGGGGAAGAGACTAATGACGAAGACGGGCTGAACCATCTCGATGAAGCGATTGAAGACCATTCGACTGCATGGTGGGATGACCCCATTAGTGGTTGCCCATCCTCACTTGAAGAGACCGTTATGGTACTCTTAGATGCTGGGTTCAATCCAAAGACCTGCCCTGTGCTCGCCGCAAAGCTCAAAGAAGTTGTGAAGCGCGTCATTACTACGATGGTCAGGAAGTATCAAATTGAGGTATCGCAGTCATTGTCTGCGGTCATTGTTCCTGGTACGTGAACCTTCTCACTATAATAGAAATGGGGTTCTCACATGATCACAGATCCCTGCAATGTTCTAAGGCCAGGTGAGATTCATGTCAAGAGTAGCCAAAGAAACCTTGTGGACCAAGATGGCAAGCGGACAGACATTATTCTAGGGGACGTGCTGGTATGAGGGCATCAATGTTGTCAGATATGACTGATCCTGAATATCTAACCTCTGAAGGTCACAAGACATCCGTGCAAAGTACCCACTGATGTTCAAAAAGTGAGACTAGTCCTTCTTTGAGTACCATCACGTAGCTCATACTCTTACCAGGTTCAGGCGGTATACCACGAAAAGCTCCGGAATTATGTGGATGTCATCGTTGTCTCCACAAAGGACCACATCTATGGTAATAAGTTATTAAATAGACACCTCGCAAGTTGTACTGGCGGCGGTAAGTTAAGACACTGGGTTTTATTAAAGATAATTGAACAAATCAATTAGGTGACTACGATGGCGACATGATGGAAGTCTTTTGGAAGCGCGAACTTGTCTCCGCGTTCGTCAATGCTGACCCCAAGTTTCTTCAAGAACCACCTGGCGTCCAGTTCTGTTTGTCGAAGAACACAGAAACGGTTGCACAATACCTAGCACATACTCCTCTGAATGGACCGAAAGAAAAAATCATATGTGAATTGCAAGCATACCTTCTTGGGAGTCTCCAGGATAGTGCGATGGTCGGGATATACTCAACCTGGTGGGAAAACTCGATATATGCATCAGGATATTGTCATCCGACAACAATATTCTTGGCGTACATGTATGTCCCAATTCTGAGTCTTTGTTTACAATGCACTGATACGACATGCAGGTTCTGCGCCATTCTTGACGGATCCAAGACCGGTGTCAGAGTGCTACCTGGCGCATATGAAAAGCATAAGCGTACTTATGCCCACCGTCCACCCGTCTGGAAGGAAACCGAGGAGGAACGCGAGCGTCATATAAGAGCAGAGACGAACGAACCCAACCTTCGGCGAGAGACTGAGCGTCTCGGGGTGTTCATCATGGACGAGATCTTTGAACAGGCTCAAGTTGAATGCCGCGGACATCTCGCTCACGTCGACGAGGTCCTGAACCCCACCGTTGTCTTGCTAGACGCAGATCTGGTGGCACCCTTCGAGGAGATGGAGATTCGTGCGCAGAAGCTACTGAAGCTACGTGGTGACAATGGCATGCTGCAGGAGCTTCAAGAAATCCAAAAACATGTAGAGAAGGTGTATTCTAACTGGAGAAGGTCGCGACATGTGGACGAGGGTCGCAGCGGGTCGGGCGGGAGCGGGGTCAGTGGAGGGAAGAGTAAAGTCGGATTCACCGGTCTTCCCATCGAGAAACGCCAGGACAGACTCCGCGAACTGTCACAACAATTTCATGGCGGGCCTTCCCCTTCGTCTGAGCTGCTCTATTTCGATGAAGTGTCGCTGCGGCGCGTACGCGCATCGTATGCTTACATTTTCGACCATCGCAGCTCGCCGTACAAATGGTCGCGCTTTCCATGGGACGTCAGCATGCGCACACTATGCGAGATCAAGGCTAACGCACTAGGGCCAAGCAAGACGCTGACCGAAGATTTTTATGCAAGGATGTCGATTAATAAGGCATTCCTTCGCGAGGCACAGTGATATTATATTGACTTATTTTGGAGGATCCGGATATTGTATTTGTACGAAACAGCATTTGCATACGGATTTCTCGACATGTGTTCTTTTATTTCCGCATGATATAGAACTTCGGATGATACTTTGCAATGTCTGTCGAACCGAATCAATGTATTGTAGTTGTTACGCCCGTCGTTTGAACACCATAGCGGCGATCCCGGTATACATCAGACGTATGATTCCACAAAAGCGAAATGCTTCGCGAGATGTGCGCACCAAACAATGCATCTTCCGTCAACGATTGTCTTCCTCGCTGAGCACAGGGCGGATAAATAATGATTCAAAAAATTGACTCATGAGCACTGTCATTTGTCCATGGCTGATTCGTTATATATTGACGACCAGATACAGATCACACAGCTATTCTTTCTCGTATGGGACCCTCGATGGGTCTGCTTTACAGCCAATTTCTGTTGCCCTACACGCATCACGTCAGACTATATGGAGGAAAAACCACGTAATTCGACGTACCAGATGACTAACGAATTTACCACTGTCCGCTACTGTCGTGTTGTCGAATACACCCAACATTGACCCGACGGACTCGGGCGGTTCTATCGGGCCCTTCCAGTGCGGATACACACTCGCGAACTGCTCGCCTTGCTTCTGTATATAAGGCAGGAACTCGGCCGGAGCTGTTTTGAGGGACGGATCAGTGTAACATATAATCAGTCTATTAGCCATTAGAATGAGAAGGTGTCACTGACGCGCAGTCTGGGCGGTCTTGACGACGCCGGGGCTAATGGCGAGGAAAGTAAAACCTTCGTGTTTGAGGGCATCTGGAGCAATCAAAATAAACATAAGGCAAAGCGATGTGTGCGAGGTTGAGCATGATACGCACTGGCATATTGGACGTTGACCATCTCGACCGCTGCTTTGGAAACACAATATCCAACTTGTCCAGCGAAACCAGATTCGAGAACTAATGCGGGATCTCCGAGGCCAGAAGACAGAGTGAGAATCTTCTTAAGTGATCCTTTGCGCAAGAGGGGAAGGAAGGCGTTGGTAGTCAGGATCGGGCCGAGCACGTTAGTGTTCCAGCCTTTATTCAGGTCATCTAACAAGGCGCTTTCGCTTGGGCTGCAGTGAATATGCACAAGCGTTAGATATGCCCAGGCATTAAGGGTGCACCATAATCGCCGAAAGTACGAAGAGACTTACGGGTCTGCGATGGTATGGAAACTGTAACTCACATACGCAGCATTGTTAATAAGGACGTCAAGAGAGCCACCCGTTATCTGAGCGGTTTCGGAAGCAGCCTTCTTAAGCGACTCCGAATCGACAATGTCGGCCTGGACGACATGAAGGTTCTTGTCCTGGATGGCAACCAGTCCTTCGGAGGAAGCGGGTTTGCGCGCAAGGGCAATGACTACGTTTCCTTTGGCCAAGAGCTGCTTTACGAACTCGAGCTGAAAATAGTTTTTGATGAGTTGTCAAATACCTAGTTTAAATGTCCCTATAATAGAAGACTCACACCGAGACCTCGAGAGGCCCCTACAACGACATAGGATGGCATCGTGAGGTTGAGTGCTGATTACTGTACGTGAGGTTGCAGCGGCGATGTGGGATGAAGCTCGTCTATAGTCATCGTTTATATAGGTACCAAAGCACAGGCAGCGAGGCGTTGAGTTCTGAGCATTATTCAGCCTGAACTGAGAGTCCAGCAAGCTCAAACTACAGGGGTAATCCCGAGACGGAAACAAGCCAGTGGCTGGACCGACGAAACGATAGGGCGTCTTACCATATAAAGCAAGAGTCCGGCGGCTGATCATGCTGACGTGAGCACAAAAGCCGATTTCTCGGAGACCGACTCGGAGCACTGGCAGTACAGACGAATAATTCATAAGTCGACTGGTTGGCGGCCAAAGGGCTTCAGCGAATATTCACCTATTCAGATAATACAGTTGGTTAAAGGTTACACTAGGCTGCATTTCTTGGAGTTGAGTCAAAAAGCTTCAGGGTATTGAACTAGTAGCCTCATATGGTTTATTATTGAAGTAAGGTTATGCAAATTAGGAATTTCTGTGATTTCCTCACGCGATAACTCAACGCGCATCACCAAGGCTCGACGCTGCTCTCGTGAGTCTGGTCTCTAAAACTTGTTCAACTAAACTCGTCAGTATGGCGATGGCCGCCGTTCAATTCGCCCCTGCCCCACCCCTTTCCAATCCAATTCAACGGCCTTTAAAAGGCTCACGGATATCCTCTTTCTATCCAGTCAAGGAGTTGCCCCCTCTATCCGCGCTGGACAGCGCATTTCAGCTCCAAGAGTACATCTCTTTGCTCATCCGAAAAGATGTTCATGACGTCGACGCCATCGTGTCGCTTCCAGGAAAGGGCAAAGAACGCGAAGGAAGCGAGGGTGAAGAAGGCGGCAGAGAAAACGGTGCGGATGCGCAAAAGGACGGGGGAGCAGAAGGCAAGAGCGAAGTGGTAGTTGATGAATCGTGCTGGATATATGAACAGCTGAGGTGTGTCCTTTGTGATGCACTGAGCCCGGCGCTGATGTATCTGGGATGCTCAGACGGCTAGCGCAGGACCTGTCACATCCTTTGATTACTATGTTGCAGCAGGAGTGTACGCGCCAGACATGTCCAGAGATGAAGGCTGGCGAGTGGCTTTACCTTTGCGTGGCACATGGTACTGAGGGCGCAATGGAAGTTCGTGTCGTCAATCTGTATGCATATAACGACGTGTCTGACGTTCCACGTAGCAATGCTGTGCCATAGATTACATCCTCCACACCTTGGATAGCGCAACTGCGCTGTTGAACTCCCCTCGTGCCTTTCCTTCTCGGTAAGCTTCTCTCTCGATGACTCCGGGCCTAAGCGTACAACTATCGAATATATTGGCAGATTGTCTATACCCGTTTCGTCTAATCGCCATTTCTCTTCCCTCGCGCGTCGTCTAGGCAGGATTTTCGCACACGCATACTTCCACCACCGCGCCGCATTTGCACAGGCCGAGGCAGAGAGCGCTCTATACGCGCGCTTCCTTGCCCTGACTTCACGCTTTGATCTCGTACCCGCCGAATTCCTTGTGATTCCCCCAGGCATTGTGGGATACGGCCAGGATGACCACGACCGGGAGATAGATGAATATCCCCGCCTGCTCGGTGCGTCGATTGACCCACGGCGCGAACGGGAGAATGTGCGTGAAGATGATCCCTCGGCCGCGCGGGGCGGACTCATTCATCTGGACGCGGACCTTCAAACGCTCACGGGAAGCGCAAGTGAGCGACGGGATCCCAGTCCACGGAAGATAGGGAGAAACAGGACAGACACGATGGTACACAGCGAGGTAGCAAGCGTCGTAGAGGAGCTGGGACGTGCGACTGCCATGGGCGAAGGCGACGAGCTTTCGCAAGAAAGGGAGCCTGCTAGTGAACGGGAGAGGGTTCCCACAATCAGGCCTGAAGACATTGCGAAGAAGGCTGAAGAGACTGCAGAAGAAAAGGACAAACCTGTGCCGGAGCCAGAGAACTTAACGGAGAGCAGCGTGGAGCCAACTCAAGAATCCGATGCGCCAGTTGAAATGATAGAGCTCGCAGTCCCTCAATCTGAGGAGCTTGAGCCAGAAGTAGCTTTAACAGATGTGGCTGAGTTGGCCCCGGACACGGCTGTTTCATCCGAGATTCTGTCCAAGCCCGCGCATGCCGAGGCAGACACGGCTGGTGCATCGGCGACAGCCCCCACGGAAGTTGACATCACACTCGAGAGCCCCGCAGATCCGGATGCTGCCATGGAACGTGTATCAAATGCACTGGAGGTCGAGGAACCTGCGTCTGCTTCAACTGAAATTGAGCATGACGTTTCAGAGATAGTGGAGGTCGCGGCGGAAGAAACCATGACCGTTGAGGAAGACCGTCAAGAGTCTGTCCAGGAAGACGTTGTCCAAGATGCGGTACCGAACCACACCGCCGAGAACATCGAGGAGCTGTGTGTGAATGTGGAGCCCGTCATATTCGCGGAGGCGCCGCATGTGGAGGCAGAGCCAGCACCGGTGCCAGAAGAAGCTCAGGAACATGATGTAGTCACCCATGATGACGAGGTGGACACGGAAGAATATGTCACGGAACCCACGCCCGCCTTGGAGGAACCTACGGAGGTGGTTGAGGGTGAAGCGAAAGTGGATGAAGAAGAGGAAGAAGAAAAGTCCAGCATTGAGGCAATACCTGCGCTCGATGCTGAGGTTGAGGGGGATGTATGAGTCGCACGGGCTTCTATATTTGCAGCCACCACCGCGAGGTGGGAGTGTGTGTAGGATAAGTAATGACCTGACGATTGCCAGTATACGCCAGTTAGGATCTCTGTTCCGTGATGCTACGCGCTATTTTTCTGACGGTGCACAGACCGTACAGGTTCAGTCGAGCTCCAGTATGAGTAGAGGTGGTAAAGTGATGGCTGGTTGGTCGAGTTTCGTACGGTAAATATCACATGCTGAAAGACTAGGCACCGTAACCTCCAGGAAGACGTACGATGCCCCTAAAGGCTTCGATTCCTGAGCACGGCGGTCCTTGTGGCACGGTTACGCTGTGTACACCTCAACCCACTGCCAAGGAAACATGCTCGGTAAAAAATCGCGTTCTCTAAGCGTTAATCCCGGACGCGACAGACCTCATGCCACCATTGCCAAAGATATCCGTAGCGATGGTGAATCAAACTCACGAGTGGCACCACTGCGGTCAACATGTGAGATCAGGCGCGATCCAAGTGGAGATAGGTGTGCACTCGGCGACATTTGAGTGTGTCCACATCAATGAGTTCGAGGCGACTTCAGTTGAGTTGGGAGGGTGTAGTGATCAATGGAGGTGAGCCAGTTCGTCGACATCCCCCCAGTCCTTGGACCATGATGTAGGTTTGACCGTCTAGTTGTGCGCATATGGCTTGAGATGTGCGCCAACGTCTTGCGTTATCACGGGCCGATGGAAAATGATCTCCCGCTCGGGACATTCGTCAACATCGGGCGCTGTGAATCGTGATTAGTATCAAATCAATACACGGATCATGTCGGTAAGTAGTGTCTACCAATTTACCGTGTACACTTGCAGATACCTTCGGGATATCACAGCAGCGCCTTCGTGTCAAGCGTGTCTGATTGTTGAGCGCGCGGACTGTGGACACCCGTGTCGATGAGTTGGTGGTCTACCAATTTTCACTGAGCTTCATCAATACGAGAGTATTGAAGGAGATGCTTGCCTGAGACAGACCATGTGGCTTAACCCTAGCGATGGCTTAGCGTTACCAAGTGGCCAATGGAATCAGCCGATATAGGCCGATGATCAGGATGCTGAATCGATGCCCCAGGAAACTTGGAAAGTGGCCGCCTATTGCCCTCAAAAGTGCTTACTAGATCAATGAGCGAGCTTACCGCCCAAGGTACCCGCGGCTCGCCAACGGTGCCATGAAAGATTCTGGACTGCGGACCATGCACTGCGGTTACTAACTTGTATTCGTGTTATCGGGCCGCATCTGTCATGACAGTGTGGCCCACTAGCATAGCTTCACTAAGGATAATAGCAAGGCTGACCGTCATTGGTCTTTCTTACCCAAGCACCGGAGATATGCGCACGAGTGAAACGTACCTTGCTATTAGTACTGACGCTGCATTTGAGCAGCTGGCGCCTGCTGGGGCCCTGGTGTGTAGGCGCTGTGCCAACCGGGGCGCGCTCATCAGCAGGCTTACGTGACCGGAAGACGAGCTCCGGGCCACTAACGAGGATTTGTCGCGCGGGCCTCAGTGCTCGATCGACGCGCCGTTCCCTTGTGGTGCGAATCAAAGCCTGCGGAGAATTGTCACATTGCGCTGCCGTGGTCCACGCAATCTGCTTGTCTTCAGCCGGCGCGCGTATATAACAATCCTCCCTTCCACCCAATGTCATATTCGTGTCTACTCTACTCCCCTCCCTACTCCTAGTAGTTTTCCTGCTCATGGATCGCTCTTCACACGACGAGCCTTCCAAGGAAGACAATGCCTCGACCCAGATCGACCATTCTCTCAAGCAGTCCGAGTCTCGCGACATAGTTGAGACAGAGCATTCTCGGGGCCCTCATGTCGAGGTGGACTTCTTCGATCCTGCCGGGGTACATGAGCTTCGCAAAACAATAACCCAAATGTCGGGACAGAGGAGGGACGACGTCAACCCATCCAAGGCATCCCGGATCTCAGATGCGAGTTCGGACGCAACATTATCGCCTGGCGACGGTCCTTTTGATTTCGAGAAGACGCTGCGGCTAGCTGTCCGGAAGTGCGTCTCTCTCTCTTTGTTGCGCGCGGAAATCGATTAAAATTCGCAATATGTAGAGCGGAGGAGTCGGAAATTAAGCTCCGGGAGCTCGGTGTGGTATTCGAAGACTTGCGAGTGGTCGGTCTTGGCGCAGCGACCACCTACCAGCCGACTTTGGGTTCCACTCTCAATCCCTTGAACTTTATCGAAACTGCTAAACAGTTACGCCATCCCCCCACTCGCGACCTCTTGAGTGGATTCGAAGGATGCGTCAGACCGGGAGAGATGCTTCGTACGCTTGTTTACAGACGGTATGCTGATTTACGACTAACATTTCTGATGCAGTCGTGCTTGGAAGTCCCGGTGCCGGCTGCAGCACCCTTTTGCGAACGCTCGCGAACCAACGGAGCGACTTCCACGCGGTGCACGGTGACGTGCACTATGACTCCTTCACACCGGAGGAGATTCACAAGCATTACCGGGGCGACGTGCAGTACTGCCCAGAAGACGATGTGCACTTCCCCACCCTCACCGTCAAGGAGACGCTTGGTTTTGCTGCGAGAATGCGAACGCCGCGAACACGCATTCATTCCAGCCGCGAGGAACATATCGAGTCGTTGACCTCGGTGTTGGCCACGATCTTTGGCCTGCGGCATGCGCAGAACACGCTAGTTGGTGACGCCGGAATCCGAGGCGTTAGCGGTGGGGAGAAGAAGCGTGTATCCATCAGTGAAGTGATGGCCACAAGGAGTCTGTTGACCTCTTGGGACAAGTGCGTTCCTATCGTGCTTAAATGAATTTATATGCTGAATTATTGCTGCCCCAAAGCTCTACTCGTGGACTTGAGTAGGTATTTTTTTTTTATCATCAGCGCTCCGATCGTTAATTCTCGACTCACAGTGCGTCTACCGCTCTCGAATTCGTCCGGGCTCTTCGGTTGGCGACGGACATTGGCCGCACCTCGACTATCGTCTCGATCTACCAAGCTGGGGAGTCTCTTTACGAGCTCTTCGACAAGGTCTGCGTAATCTACGAGGGCAAGATGGCGTATTTTGGTTCCGCCAAGCGTGCGCGGCAATATTTCATTGACATGGGGTACGAGCCAGCGAATCGCCAAACGACGGCCGACTTCCTCGTCGCGGTCACAGATCCGAACGGACGGACCGCCCGCCCAGGCTTCGAGGCACGCGCGCCACGAACGGCGGTCGAGTTCGCCGAGTACTTCAAGTCGAGCGATCTCGGCGCGCTGAATCGGGAGGACATGGAAACGTACAAGGAGACGTCGGTAGGCAAACCAGAGAAGGCGCTGGAATATCGTGAGAGCTCGCGAGCGGAACACGCAAAGACAACACCGCCAGGCAGCTCGTTCATCATCTCGCTTCCGATGCAGGCCCGTGCCCTTATGCTTCGTAGACTCCAGATCATCAAGGGTGCGAAGGCGGCGCAGGTCATTCAGACCGCGTGAGTATCCATTTCCCTGGTGTAGAATTATTCTAACGCACCGTCGTCTGCAGCACTTTCATCCTCCAGGCTGTGATTGTCGGTACCATATTTTTGCGGCTTAGTGATACAACTGCGACATTTTTCTCGCGTGGTGGTGTCCTCTTCTTGTACGCCATCTTTGCCAATGAGGTATACTGAAGATACTAATTATTTGAAATATGATAGCGGGCTTCTGTTTGCAGCTTTGTCGACTATGGCAGAGATCCCTGCGCTCTTTGCGCAGCGGCCGATTGTCCTCCGGCATTCCCGAGCGGCGATGTATCATCCGTACATGGAAGCACTCGCCTTGACACTTATCGACATGCCCATGACGGCCATCACACTCATTTTCTTTTCTATCGTGCTTTATTTCTTGGTTGGGTTGCAGCAGTCTGCTGCGCAGTTTTTGTGCGTCTGCTCACATCGTATAGATGGTTCCCTACTGACTCTGCGACAGCACATTCCTTTTGTTCGTCGTCACGATCACGATCTCTATGAAGGCGTACTTCCGTGCCCTGGCCGCAGTATTCAAGAGTCCAGCACCTGCTCAGGCCATCGCCGGTGTGTCTGTCCTGATCTTGACCCTCTACACCGGTTACAACATCCCGCCACCGAGCATGATTGGCGCACTGAAGTGGATCACGTACATTAACGTTCGTCTATTCTTGTGCTCGCGGTATTTTTCTGGAGACTGACTACGTTACGTACAGCCGCTCAAGTATGGTTTCGAGGCGCTGATGGTCAACGAGTTCCACACGATCAACGGGGAGTGTGCGACGCTCGTCCCGCAGGGCCCAGGCTACACAAACATCACGCTCGCGAACCAAGTCTGTACCACTGTCGGCTCGCTCCCCGGTCAGGCGCAAGTCAATGGCGCGCGGTACTTGGGAATGTCTTTCCAGTACTACTACAGCCACCTATGGCGGGTGAGTTGCACAGCTTGTGGCAGAAAGTGGCTTCACTCACGTTTGTCGGGATGCATCTCAGAATTTTGGAATCAACGTGGCGTTTGGCATCGGCTTTATTATCATTCTTCTCATTGTCACCGAGCTGAACAGCAAGTCGTCTGTGGGCTCTTCGGTGACCTTGTTCAAGCGCGGGTCCAAGGCTGTCACTGCTGCCAGGTCGTCTACTTTGGATGAAGAGAAGATTGAGAGCACCCACGAGACCGTCGCTGGCGCTGCGATGGAAGTGAAGAATGCAATGGTAGAAGCATCTGCCACGAAGAACACGTTCTCCTTCCAGGGTCTTACCTACGTCGTTCCGGTCAGTGATGGTCACCGCAGGCTGCTGGACGACGTCTCCGGCTATGTCGCGCCTGGTAAACTGACGGCTCTCATGGGTGAATCTGGTGCGGGCAAGGTGTGTCACGTCTACATAAATTGGCTTGATTGTTCTAAACTCACATCATCACCTCGTTCAGACCACTCTGCTGAACGTGCTCTCTGAGCGCACTACTGGCGGCGTTGTCACCGGTGACAGGCTCATGAATGGCCAGGCCCTTCCCATCGACTTCCGAGCACAGACGTAAGCATAAAATGATACAACTGTCGGACGTGTCTTCTCATACGGTTCGTTATGTTGCAGTGGCTATGTTCAGCAAATGGACACGCACTTGCCCACTGCGACGGTGCGCGAGGCTCTGTTGTTCTCTGCCAAACTGCGCCAGCCCGCATCCGTGCCACTCGAGGAGAAGGAAGCTTACGTCGACAAGTGCCTGAAGATGTGTGGTTTGGAAGCGTACGCGGATGCTGTAGTTGGTTCGTTGGGCGTCGAGCATCGCAAGCGAACGACGATTGGTGTCGAACTCGTCGCAAAGGTAGGTTTGATTCTGGTGCCAAGACAAGAAACCTTGCTGATCCAGTCCTTATATCCAGCCCTCCCTCATCTTCCTCGACGAGCCCACATCCGGTCTCGACTCCCAAAGTGCTTGGGCTATTGTGTGCTTCTTGCGCAATCTCGCAGACAGCGGTCAATCGATTGTGTGCACGTATGTATAGATCACTCTGTCTACCAAATTGCTTCTTATCCTCGACTCGCAGTATCCATCAACCGTCGGCGGAATTGTTCGAAGTCTTTGATCGGCTGCTTCTTCTGCGTAAGGGTGGGCAGACGGTGTACTTCGGAGACCTTGGACACAGATCGACCCAGCTCATCAACTACTTCGAACGTAGCGGAGGCCGCCCCTGCGGTGACGCAGAGAACCCGTTCGTACTATTTTCCTTGAATCGTTATAGACAACTGACGGTGATTTTCAGTGCGGAGTACATTTTAGACGTGATCGGAGCGGGTGCCACGGCTTCTAGCGACATCGACTGGTATGAGAAATGGAAAGCATCGAACGAGTCTCGGCAGCTCGCTTGCGAACTTGAAGAGATCCACTCTGAAGGCCGACAACGTCCGCCAGTCACTGCAGCCATGCTCAACGAATTCTCGACGTCTTGGGGATACCAGGTCACGACATTGTTGCGGAGGACTCTGTCGTCGTATTGGCGCGACCCGTCCTACCTCATGTCGAAACTCGGGGTGAATATCGCTGCAGGACTGCTCATTGGCTTCACGTTCTTCAAGGCAAAAGACAGCATCCAGGGAACACAGAACAAGCTCTTCGTAAGTGCCCTGTCTGACCAATTTGACATGCGGTATTAATGCCAGTGCAGGCTGTGTTCATGTCCACGATCATCAGTGTTCCGCTCTCGAACCAGCTACAAGTGCCGTTCTTGGATATGCGTACGATTTATGAAATCCGCGAAAGACATAGTAGTATGTACAGCTGGACAGCCTTGATAACGGCGCAGATCCTTGCCGAGATTCCATGGAACATCCTTGGGTCATCCCTGTACTTCCTCTGCTGGTTCTGGACGGTCAGCTTCCCCAACGATCGCGCAGGATTCACGTACCTCATGCTTGGAGTCGTGTTCCCAATCTACTACACAACAATCGGCCAGGCGGTAGCAGCCATTTGCCCAAATGCCGAGATTGCAGCGTTACTGTTCAGCTTCCTCTTCTCTTTCGTACTCTCATTGTGAGTAGCCAATTCTTTCTTCCGCATCTCACCTTTGACATTTGATTTGTGCGCTAGCAATGGTGTTCTGCAACCGTTCAGGGAGCTCGGCTGGTGGCAGTGGATGTACCGTCTGTCCCCATTCACCTACCTCATTGAGGCACTTCTCGGACAAGGTTTGTCGCCCTCGTTTGATGTTGTATCTGAGTTGACATAGTGCTAACGTAAAAACCTGCAGCTGTTGGCCGTACCGTGATCAACTGCGCCGCGGAAGAGCTCGTCACTTTAGACCCTCCTTCTGGGACAACTTGCGCGCAGTATCTGAACCCCTACATCAACTCGACGGGAGGTTATCTAACAAACCCTGACGCCTCGAGTGGCTGCATGTACTGCAGCTACAGCTCGACGGACGCGTTCCTCAGCGAGTCGTTCAATATCTACTATTCTCACCATTGGCGGGATTTCGGGATTTTCTGCGCGTACATCGTGTTCAACGTAGGTTGCCTTCACCCATTACATCTGGTACGCTCACTAAGTCGGATTTGTTTGCAGTTTGTCTGTGTGTACCTCTTCACGTATCTCTTCCGGGTGCGCACGGGCAGTCTTCTCGGCTCATTGAAGAAACGCCTCGCTCGGAGCAGGTCGTAAACATGCATGGGAACGACGAGTCTCGGTAGATGTATCTTATGGCCTCTATCTAGAGTAGATCTTCAATCTTACGATCAAGCACATTCACGGACTCACAGCAGTTACTCCACTCAATGTGACAATATTCATCAGCGACGATCCATACCCTACTTATTTAGATGATTTTACGTAACCTGCACACATCTGCTAGTAATGCGCAATATAGCTCTCCATTTTTGTCGGCTGCATGGGGCAAATCGTTCGTTCGAGTTTTTTTCTATCGCACAAATCTCCAGAAGCTTGTCGAAGACCATAGATGAAGTGGTCAGGTTGAGGATGATATCTCCAGCGGCCGCATAGTATTCGGAAGATTGAGTAGTCCCTCCGTCGCACGCAGCCAAAACACCTGAGAGGACCAACGACACAAAATTCAGCACATGCGAATGATGGAACTCGGAGGTACTAGAACTAGAGCCATTCAGAGTCATCTATAAGTTTGACTAGTAGATCTAACAACTTGAGAATGTGGAAACACAGGCAAACGAGTGAGGATCATCTCGAGTTCGGGGGCAAGATTCAGACAGGATACCGACCCGAAGGGATGGGAAGTAGGTGTTCATTGTATTTCCCATTTGAGCCTACTAGTACTAGTATCAAGTACACAGTCGATTGAATCGGAAGATTTGCTTATTCGGACAGGGACCATGACAAGAGAATCTGTCAATAATGAGAACACGGACTGAAGGGGATGCTCTCGAATAGCACACGGGGCGAAGGAAGGACCTGAACTAACGGCACGGACCAGATGGTTCGTACCTCCGATGCAAATGTTCAACAGAACTGTGATATTTGGGGACTGCGTCCGTGGACCGCGGCCGTCATATGTGACATTATCCAGTGGTTCAAGGAGATGATGGATAATTGCATTATTAGCGTAATTGTAACCCACACACACCTTGCTCTACTAATGGAGGGTTACGCGGCTTTGTCACGCTCTCGACCAATCAAGTTCAATGAGTGAGGTCCTGTTCTACATGCTGGAATCTAGAAAACAAATTCTCCAGGGAATGCCGAATGAAGCGATGAAGCGAAATGTGAATATACTCGTATAATAGATGCAATGTAGCTTCATCACAACATGGGCTGAAAATTTGGACAAATACCATTAGGGCAACTGAACAACTAATAGATGAGCTCGATGGACTCGGTATTGGCGAAAACTTACGAGGATGCAGTCAGGCTCGGTGGAGGTGGGTCGCTTGTTTGTAGAAACAGCTGTGCGCGAACATACATGATCTTACGCGTCTCCTAATGGTCTGCGTAGAGGGAGACGTGGGAGCAAAAGGATTCAAGATTCCGCGCATCTATTTTTGGATATTAAACCCGTACATTCTCAGAGAACGATGTCTGCCCTCTCATCCTCTGGGAATGAGACGTGTGCTCTCGAAGCGTTCGGAGATGAGCGGGGGGTAGCGCATTTCGAAAGCAGACAGTCGAGAAACCTTGCACTATACTCATCTTCAATAGATCATCAACGCTGCATTGACTGTAACCGTGCCAACTCAGATATGTCAAAAATGCGGCTCGATATACTGGAGATCAGGTTTCAGCCTCACTTTGTTCATCGAGATGTCGAGCGTGAGTGCACCTGGAACCTTGTTGGAGATCACATCATGTCTGGGGAACGCTTGCGTCTGATAGTTTATGGACATGTATGAGCTGCAACTGGACGAGGGCCGCCTGAGCCGAATTACATGAAGTTCTTGGCACTCCTAGTACTTGAAGTTGGAGGAAATTGATATTGATGGTGCAAATAGACTTAGATAGCTGCAAAGGCTGTATCCCATGTTGATGATCTGTCAGGAACATTTCAAGCAAGCTATCAAGTTTGAAGTCATCTTTACTATCCGTTGACCTCGCTGATTCGTGGGGTCCCCTGCCAAAAACGGATTTGTTCATCTGCCGAAAGACGTCGACGATGGCTTGATCATTTCACCGATACAGGCACGATTAGACGCTTTCCCTCATCCCATGAGGTCTATGGTCCAAAATCTGACTATAGAAAACGAGATGCAAGCTCGTTCTAAACGCGCTCAGGCTCGGGAGGTTAGGGTGCTGTCGGTGTTGATTCTCCAGCTACCGGCCTGCGCCCTTCGCAAAAGCAGCGCAAACGTACACGAGCAAACGATCGAGCTTCCTTTGGTATGTGGAGTGGGTCGCAAGACGTTCAGGTGGTCGCATGCGTTCATTACGTTTAAGAGTGCGCTGACTCAGAGGCGCTAAGGAGGTCGAGGGGCGACAAAGCGCTGGCCGGTAGCATTCGCCGCGTACAGTAATATTCGTGAGCGGTATGAGACTCGTCGCGGCTTCGCGATTAAAGCCGCGTCCTAGAAGTTCAACGCGTTGGATTCCTGCTCCCTCTTCCGGGCCATTTCTATGTTCCAGACTTGACTGAGTCGCGCCAGCGGAATGCAATTATTCTGTTATCTTCTCTACCCGCTCTGGATGTTCTGCTCTGCTTGCTAATCGAGAAAGCCATCTATGAGTCCTCTGAAGTTATATTCTGGCCTTTTCAGGACACACGTTTCGCTGAGCAAAGATCTGCTGTATCTGTCGTATGCATCAGCATCATGATTGCGTCGCGGAAGGGTCATCAATATTTCATTTTCACGGATCGAAGCTCTGGAACGTCGCTACGTGGATGATTGGTGAGTGAACTTGGATGCATCCGTGTCAAATTATTCAGAAAGACTGTCGAACTACTAGCCCAAGTTGCATCTAGAACGTGCTATTCAGGTGGTCTCCGCCTCAACTTTGTTTCAACACAGCCCTTATCCTTACAGCTACTTCTCTGTAGAGAATGGAACAATTATTGATTCATTTCTTATAAGGTTCATCTCGGTTCGCACGTTGTCTATCTCGCCGTGATCATTAGCTAGAGAAATATTGTCCTGGTCACGGATGCCGATGCTCTTGGTTTCAAGTGGCTGTTCAACATCGCGGCCAATCAATTCCAAATCTTGCTCATAGGAAATACTTCAATGATCCATCATTGGATGAACTCATAGGCAACTTGCAGTTGGTTTGCATTCTGTGCGAAAGCATGGCTCACGCACGTTTGGTCCACTGCGCATACGCGACCGATATTATACACATCCATCAAGGTATCTCACGCTGGTCAGAGGCTTTGATGTTCTGACAGATGACAGGTACAATGAACCAGCCCTAGATCTGCATCGTGGTCATCAGTGACAGATCTACTGAGTGATACGGCTGCCATGGCTTCACTAGTAAGCAAAAGTGATTCTGGACACTTTTACTCCCGAAAAGCTTCTTCGGTCGTACAATTACGCAATTGCCCTTCCTTGGGACATAGAAGCTTCTTCGTCTCATGAGGTTTTGGGAGCATGCGTTCTACTTCAACACTTCGTCAACGACGGGGACCATTGACGAGTACAGGCTTGGTGCCCAATTCTCGAATATCGGATGAGCTCGATCAATGATTGTTGATAGATGCTCTTGTCGAGGCTGGCTTCCCTTGTCTTCTGATTACCCAGGCTTATGGTGATTGAGAGGACCCAGCGCATATAAATGGGTTTGTATGGGTACTGCGACGTCTCATCTCGCATCCAGTGCAGTTGTCATTCTTTTCAAAGTTTTACCTCGAACTCAAGATGGGCCTTTCATTCGTTTACCTCTACTTCAGTGCCCTCTTCTTCGTCCTTGTTCATTCCAAACACCATGGTCTTAGGAGGCGGGATGATAGTCGTAAATGGCTTCTATTGTTTGTTGAATCCTGATATGTGCTGATTTCCGCTTAGCTAGTCCAATTATCGGACTAGGAAGCCTTGTCGCTGCATGTGATCGTGGGGATCCTGAAACCACGTATTATACGGCCGAGGTCGGGGTACTGTTCACCGTGGTCACTCAGAACTGTCCCGGCGCTGGCCTAGATACTGTCGCAGGTTCTCAAAACATTAACGGAGATTATTATCCGATATCTGCTACGAAAAGGCAGAGCGATTCGTGTACGTCGTATGCTTATTCTTTCGCGGCCGGCTTTTCTCATTATAAATATTCCTTACATTTTGGATCTGTTGTTCATTCGTCTAATGGATTGATCATGAACCATGCCATATTACGGACATACAGGCAGTTTAGCGTGTGAAAATTTAGGATCTCAGCCGAATGATGGCGACTGCCAAACGATGGTGGATTACTTCAACACAGACAGTACGTGTGTTCTTTGATTCTTGACAATGTGCTTGCTGTTGATATAATTGTACCGTGTGACCGAACCACCTGCAAATCTTCTCGATGGCCAACACAGCTGGGAGCTTCACAGTGCCAACGGGGAGCCGAGTTCAGTATTCTTATGGAACCTGCGCTCTGGCCTTCATCAACACCATGAGCGAAGCCGCGCAGGTTGAATACTCTACTTTTGTACGCTTCTTCATTACTTTGACATTACGCTTATGTTCCTGACATTTTTCTTGCTGTCGTTTTAATGTCCCTTGCCGAATGATGTCTTGATAAATTTGCTGTCATATCAGGCCTCGGTCGCCGCACAAGTGGCTGGTCAATGTACCACAGGCGTATCAGGAATCAATGGTGGAGGTTGTCAGCAACTTCCTGATCTAAGCTTCACGATCGCGTAAGTTTTCCATGTGCGTGGCTTGTGAGATGATTCCACTAGACTGAACATTCTATGTATAGGGCATACTCTCCATCTACGTGATGTGTTACCACATGTTGGTCTAACGCGTGAAGGGAGTGGATTTGCCCAGAGCGCGTTCAGCATGATCTTTGACGTCTCATTCGGGCGAGTACTACTCCTATTTGTGACATTTTGCTCTTGTAGGACCAAATATTCGATATCTGTTTGATATTCTCGGGACAGCGCTCCCTTGCTCATGGACTCTATTTGAACTCTATTATATATAAATTGTTACTACAATGTCAGTATACATTGTTGTCTGATCAAGCTTTGAGGACAACGACTTGGCGCGTATCGTCCGTTGTGTATAGCAAGTGTAGGAGTCATTATTTTCATTTTTTCATTGGTTTAGCTAGTATCGAGTCGTGGCAGCACGTATATGAATACACTGGAACATCGCTCACGGCATCTTTTCCTCAGCAAAGAGTATGGACTACAAAGTATCGGCAGGTCTTGCTTTGAAATTGTAGACTTTAGTTTTAGTGAATAGGAGATTGAGATATTATATTGAGTTTAGTTACTTAGCTTGGCCGTATAGTTGCTATCAATAGTTCGTGGCGCCTAGTATGCGCGTAGCGCTTGGAGTCTTGGACGAATTCCTTTGCGTTCGAGTCTCATCACGGTCAGCAGGCTACTCGAGTCGCACGCGCTGCGTACAACTTCAGGTTCATGCCATGATGCAGGCAATTTTCATACCTTTATCCCCGAATCCCGATCTTGCTCTCCTCGACACGTTTGGGTACGAGACCACTGAATCTTACCACGCCGATATACCAACTTCGTTTGCGTTTATGAGGTTGACGCGGCGATCCGTACACCCACAGTATCATATTTGCGTTGGTCATAACAGGCTAGCTCGACCGTACTGATACCAGCAAGATCAAACCCCCGAGAAATGATCACAGCGCTCTCAAGGTGTGTGTGCACCTCGTTCTCATGTGTACGCAGTCGTGGCCTTGAACAGAGACCGCAAAGTGGGAGGAAAGATAGCATCTGCATAGAAGTGCTTTAATCAATGGAGAGCAGATTGTTTCCGAGCCCGGTGAGGCGATTGGTCAGGAGTATGGCCAGTTCTCTGCGAATGTTGAACATGATCCCTACTTTGTATCTTCTCAGTTCGATGGATGGCTCGCACGCTTTCCATGCTGACGTGTTATACATCATTCGGACAAAATGTTCTGGCGCCACTCGGTAAGTGGTTGGGCGAGCATCGCGCTGGCTGACCTATTATATACAGTTCTTGACGTATCGAATGTCCTGAATTGGCATGGTTACGGTCGATGCAATGTTGGCGTTATACCAGTAGTTGAAGCTCCATCTGGCTTCAAAATCACGCGACTACCTCTCGAGGATACCTGCATACTCTATGGATCTCTCCATATGCTTTGGGAGCTCATGCCTCTATTCAGTGCTACCGAAAGGACGAACATCGTTCTTCGAGAATGTACAAGCTTGATAACCATCAACAATAGATGCGCCAAACCGTGAGTCCTTTTCGTGGCTTTCTATCCATCTCTCTTTACACAGCCCCTCAAGAGACGACGTGTGGGACATATTCTCATGCAATTGCTCTATGAAACAAGAATTTGCCCCTATTGAGTCCTGCGGCGCTTATAGAATGTGAGACTCTTGTCGTTTGTTCTGCCGATATCATTCGCGCTTTGTTCGCATCGTCAATGTGAGTCACCCAACTTCAGTGCCGTCACCAGAAGCGGGCGTATATTATGATGAACCTATGATGCATCTATTGTATGAATATGTTCGCATTTTGCCTCATTCGGGATTCACTGTGGAATTCGTCTAAGGTTCATTTAATAGAACATGATTCCACCCACGGAACAATGGAAGGTCGAGGGTGTGGCGAATCTGCGGAGCTCTTGTTGATAGATCAAGGTATAATAAGTTACGACTACAGAGACATACGACGAGCTATCAACGACGCTTTGAGGCCCTCGAGGCACTGACTGTTTGATACAATGATCGTGGATACAGTCCTCGAATTTCAATATTCTGTTTCACATCTGCGGGTACGCCGCTATCTTATATTCTTTTCTCTCCGTGTACTGTGATCACTCCCTTCAACTTGATCATCATCGCTGGCGGTTGCTCTTGTTACAGTTCAAGTCCGACTATGCAAGGTTTCGCAGTTCGATCAACCATGCATGTGGTACAAATGGGCTCGCAACGGGTGTGCACTTGCATCTGCCCCCCGTCCCTTTCTCTATCCCCGTCCAAGTCTCGAGATGGGCCCCACACTCATTTACCGTCTATGTTTCTGCGCTCTCTTGTTGTTCGGGGTTGTTAATTCTAAACCTCATAAACGATTCATGAATCGTACGTGGCCGTGGGGTTTATCATTCGCGTGTCTGAATTTTGCGTCTTCATTCTTCCATGTCTTCCAGGCAGGGATAGTACTAGTATTGAAAGTCTTTTGCCTGCGTGCGATGGAGGGGACGTTCAAACCTCCGAATACACGGCCGATACAGGAATAGTCTTCAACGTGACCACTGAGGGTTGTCTTGGCGTAATGCCATTTGAGGAGGAAATCCCCAGCATCTTTTTTTCTGATTTGAATGTGTACGAAAACTCAAAAAATGATGTCCAATCGTGTGCGTTATGATGTATTCTTGTACTGGCGTTTTTTGGACTGATATCAATGCATCGGCGAATTGGGTATCGCGGATTCTGTCCCTTTGTACGTTCGCATGCTATGCGGCGCGTTATCGACACACAGGCGATCTTTCATGTTTTACTCTGGGACCAGCTACAGATTACAGCGACTGTCAGACAATCACCAATACCTTGAACTCAAGTAGTGCGTGTTTTCTCTGAGAATTGATAATGTGCTCGCCATTGACAAGAATACTCAAATATGCGTCATCTTTCGATGGCTCACATAGCGGAAAGCCTTACTGTACCACCACAAGGCCGTGTTCAGTACTCTTTTAACACATGCGCTTTGACCTTCATCAGTTACGCAAACTTTTATTCCGTGGTTGGCGATTCTATTTTTGTGAGTCATTCAAGCCATTCATGTTCCATTGATATTTAATTCTCATACTGGCCTATCTGTTCTATCTTTACATCAAACTACCTCGATCCGTGGCATTCAAACCACTTGAATTCTCCTATTCCACGGCGGTTTTATAACAAACTCGGAATAATTTTAGGCTCGGGCTGCTGCCGTGGTGACTAGCCAATGCGTAGCATATCCAGGAGCTCAGGGTGGACAGTGTCAGGAAGACCTGACCTTCGCGATCGCGTGCGTAGCCATGAACGTAGTTTCCAAGACGTTGTCCGACTCACCATTGACTACGTAGAGTGTACGGAGTCTGAATGCACAGCGACGAAGATCACACTGAAGAGAAGGTTTATTCAGACAACTTCTTTCTGACGATCATATAAACAATCTTATTGCGAATACATTGGGGAAGTTTGTGTATGTGTGTTTTTTTTTCATGGACCTGAGGTTTGCCAATAATTATTGTGTTTCTCGGAACACGTCATATTCTTGTTTCGCTCGACGTTCAGATTCTATCTGAAGCTGTCCATAGTTTTGTGCTTAACGGTACCTAAGGGCTCAGATGCTCATGACTAAATCCTAAAAATCTCACAGTCAGTTTCATAATCGAGCGTTCAAACGTTCAGAATTAACGGGCTCCCGCGTTCTTGAACGAAGCGTAACTTTGCGTCTGAAAATGCATCCAATAATGCCAATTTAAAATTGCGCTCGCTGGCATATGTTGGCATATGTCGAGCAGGTTCAGCGGTGTGTGGTTCTGGTCTAAATGTTTCAACTTGGACTCAGCCCCGGGCCCAGGCTGTTATGAACTAATCGATAGCATCCCCTTTCTTGTGCGCGGCTTTCCAGTGTATTATGATTCGTATGTACAGTACTACACATAAATGACGTGAGGCCAAGCCCCCTTCATATAATTCTGAGCCTTAAAACTCTATCTCAGTAGGGAAGTTCAAAGTTGACGCAGCTGGGCTCGCAGAAAGTTCTGCGGCGCAGATGTGCTTTTGGGCACTAGAAAAAATGCGAGTTTCTTGAAAATGCGGTCACACTGACTTTCCTGCGACCCAAGTGTGACCTTCGGCGCGATCACGCATGCATGTCATCAACTACCCTTTGAGAATCATACTGTGGTCGGACGAAAAATTCGTGCAGACTCTCAATCGCTTTGAAACAGTGATCTGTATATAGTAGAATGGTTCCCTCTCCAATTTCTGCTTGGCATGCAATATCTTCAACAGATGCCCCATCCAGAACCCATTCAATAGAGCATGACTGCCAGTTGGGTTTTGAACAGGTGCTTGGGGATTATTTGAATTGTTATGAAAAACAGGATGAGTTTTAATAAGAGTGGGGATGACATTGAAGACATATGGAGATACCTGCAGCATCTGTATAAATCATCCATGATCCCTGTGATCTTTCTGGTACTCCCATGCCAGATGTAGATTTCTGAGGCATAAAATGTGTTCACATCCATGCAAGTATTGAGTTGTCCTGAAAGCCCAAAGTACCTTGATGTTGATGTTCAGCTGTTGATATATTGCCTCAAGACTCCCAAGCAGTGTGAATACCTCTTGGAGGGCAGCAAACAGTGCATATGCATGGATGTACTTATCATGCAGCAGTTGGTCAGGCATCATATCATGCAGAAGAAGTTTGGGTCCTCCAAAACACACTCATAGATAATCACAATTGTATATCTGAGTGTGACATTAGATAAGCAGGAGACATAGGCATCTTTTCTCGTTTTTTTCATCTGGGCTCACATTTTCTTCAGCACCTAAATCCGCATCTGCGCCGCAGAACTTTCTGCGAGCCCAGCTGCGTCAACTTTGAACTTCCCTAGTATGCCACATATTTCGGGCTAGCGCATGCCCAGTTGGCCTGAATGGGCGCTTGACTCCGTGCCACCGTGACCTCGATACCGGCGATCCCATCGAGTCTTTAAGTCCTTTGTCACCTTAATCCCTACCTGCTCGGAGTCATAAAGACCGTGTCCGAGAAACTTCAAAGCTGTAACGTGACAAAAAATACTTGGCTTTCTAGGGATTGCAATACTCGACATATGTCAACGAAGTTATCTTAGGGAATGCTTGTTGGGAATCGGAGAGACAGCGTAGCGTCGATAGTAGGATCATGGAAGACACTACTGAATCATTTGCCAGGTGTGGCGACGCTCAATGATCGTACTGGGGAACTACTTACAGCTGAACGTACGCTGGCCGGCATACTTGAATTCGTTGGAGTGGCAGCGAAGCGTGCTTGCTCTTTTTTGTCAATGGGCTCTGAACTCATATGCATCGCTACCATCACTTGTGCATGCACTCTTGTTCCTCTCGCGGTTCTTGAGACCGGCAGCACGAGTACCTTTGCGCAGGTTTTCTTAACAATGTTTAATACACTGCGACGCACGCGGATTTTGCCGTCGTCGAACTAAGCACCCAGGTTTCCTCCTTGAGCTCTGCAAGTATTATAATCTATTATCGACTATCATCCTTCTGCGTTGGCTTGTTACTCTGATGATCATCGGATCTCAGGACTTTGAACGCGTCGTACTGGACTATCTGCTATTCGGGGCAAAACACACCTCGCTACAGCTGCATGGCAACATGCCTTTAACGTGTTCCGATGTGTTCAAATCTTTGCTGAGCTCAGACCACATGTCCTCTACCATTTCAAAATACATCACATTGGACTTGAAGAATGTTAATCCTGGGCCTGAGCCACTGCCCGCCTCATATAACGATTCGTCAGGTACGTGTATAAGAGTGCAAAATATGGACTCTATGGAATGAATGCTGAACGTTCTGTGCCCATTCCCCACGACTATCACATATGGCCAGCGAAAACAAGCAGCCCATCGAGATCTGTGCTGAAATTTCTTTTTCTCGGTATCAATGCAGAGAGCTTATTGGACAACTTGGACTTTTCCAGAACTCGAGACCATTTCTGGCAAGTCTGATCCGTAGGGTGTGTTATGGAGCATCCGTGACTATCGCGTGCAGTACTGGCTTCAAATTCGTCCGACGTTGAAGGACTTGCTACTTTGGTGCTGTACTTGCCAGCTTTCTCGAAAACTCATGCATACCAATCAACATTGTCGACTGCTGACTTGGCACGTTACAAGGGACTCAATGATTCTTAGTGCCTCTTGAAGGATATTGGAGTCTATATGGCTGGCCCGTAACGTAGGCTCAACGCTTTTCCTTACTGATCGTACCTGCTGTCCAGCATGCATTGTCAGTGAGAGGTTTGTATGGGAAAACAAAATTCGTGGTAGAGGTTCTCTCAAAATCTCATATGAGCCTGATACTTAACCATGTATCACAGCAATTCACTGAGAAAATCGGTATTGAAAAGTCAATCAATTGTTTTGAGAATCGTGCTGTCTTCGAGGTATGCTGGTCTTTCTACGGATTGTCCAAGGCTAACGAAAGGCACATATATCAAGCAAGTCCGAGAGTCCGACGAGAAAGGCGCAATATCGGGCGTATTATAGCTGGCTTCCTCTCTCCTGTACACATTATTTTGACGTCCAAGCCTGACACCTAGACTGGCTCGGTCTACCTGGCCACTGTCCATGTTGTCACCGGGTCCTCTTGCGACGCGATATCGAGGCACGTCTTCACCTTGTTTTTACACATTAATAATGACGGCAACAAAAGTGAAACCAGTTTGCGTATAAAAGGGCTTCGAGTACTCTCAGCTTGTCTCATTTCTCATCTGTTCTACTCTCAACTTCAGTCTCAACTCAACTCCAATGGTTTTCACTCTGTCTCGCCTCTTTCAGCGCACCATCATCCTCGCCATGGCACTTGCTAGCGTAGGAGTTAGTGGTGGTGAGTACACCATCCGACCGTCTGTCCTTTGCGGCGTAGATGCTCACCACTCGTTCTTCAAGCTCCTGGCCGCCGCGCAGACAGTCAAGCGACGTGCAACAGCGGGGAAGTCATCAGCACGTCGACGCTCATGGCAGGTTCTGTGTCGCTGAAGGTGGTCACGGAGACTTGCCCTGGCCTCACCACGTCGTCGCCCTCTTCCGATGCTTTTAGGCTGGACAACGGGACAGTCGTCATCGACAATGTCGACGTCAGGTCTCCCAGCTCCAAGAGGCAGACGGCCATTAGTGGAACATGTGAGGCTCTCGATTGTGATAATAATAATACTACGTTGACTGTCAACTTTGCCGTTCCCTCATGTTTTCTTTCCACGGGCTTTATAACGCTCTGTCTTCTCTCGTAAGGCGACATACAGTGCATGGATATTGGCACGGCCGCCGATATGTCTGACTGTTCCATAATTGAGAACGAACTGAACGGCATCGGTGCGGTTCCTTTCTTTCCGGCTACGAATCAGCTGACTATTTTTCACAGATGGATACTTCACTGCATACCCAGCCACTAGGACTACGTTCAGCTTCCAGACCTGCGCGCTCAATTTCATTAATGCTATCGACGAGGAGCTGTCGGTTTACTATCCCACCATAGTACGTGATCATTTCCATGACTGCTCTTAAATTCTAGTTGTTATCCTTGATGTCAAATTCGGAATTCCGTCCTCAACTTTTGATACTGGTATTGCAGGGCACCATCTCTGGTGATGTCGCCTCAGACTGCTTGAGCGGTGACATGGGGTCTGAGGGAGGGGAGTGCCAGGAGATCCCCGGCCTGGACTGGGTATTTGGGTAAGTTTCACAACTGCGCTGGTAATTACGAGCAGGACTAATGACTGCATGTACAGTGCATACGGAGTCACAGACATGTAGAAGCTGTCTTTTAGGCGTATCAGACGGCCATGGTCAATTTTCATTGTATAAATGGGAAGGGTTAAAGGGATTTTGCGGTCGTATGATTATGTCTCTGTTCTTTTTTGTATGCTGATTTTTCATGTTTGTACATGAGTATAAATTGGGTATATATGTTGCGTTGTGCCCACAGCATTCAGCTAAGATGAATCAGAAGTATTTCCTGAGATTCCATATGTACTGTGTATTCGATAATCAGTACGACACATTTATTGACGGTCGTGAATGACACTTACGCAATCGAGTAGGCTAGAGTGGGTAGATCTTGACAGTCACCTCCTAGCTGGCCCGATTCTCCATCAACGCATTGGCTAGCCACGGCAGAGGCAACTGAGGTCTGACGTCGAGTAGTAATCCACCAGGACGAGTATATCACGAATGATGAATAGATATACACGCAGTCAGCAGCGGACAGCAAACGCAGGGGTGGGAAATGCCGTACGAATGTGAGGAAGTCTACCAGTGCGGCTTCGGACATGGAATTGATAAAACTCATCGCACATGATTGGTAAGAGAATTGCACTCGAGTCCCAGATTGCACGGTGAAGTTAGCTGTTTTTCATGGTCAATTCAAACAACCGCATAGTGATACAAGGACTACGGCACTTTGTGAGTTGAGCGCATTAACAACTACTTCGCAATCAGACATTGTGGCAGGGGGACCCAAGTCGGCGCATGACAGATTGCCTATGTTGAAGAGCAGGTTCCATTGTTTCATTAGTGCAGCGATTCATTCATGGTAGGATGTGACCGATGGTCTCGTAAGAAGTTGTTATGAGCAAAAACAAATCAAGCATCACCCACAGGTACTACTTTGTCTCTTCCGCCGGTGGTTGTGATTCTTACCCAAAATATAATTAACCCCAAAGATCGGAACATAGTCGTCAAATTGGTCCGGAATCGTCACATTGACCAGCGTCATGGAAGAAGTACAGTTCTGATTGGTGATAGTCAAGTCCGATGATATCGAGGATGTCCATGAAGGTTTTTCGAGAATTTCTCCGTGGGGACACTTGAATTCAGGCCTCCAATGTGATGTTACATCTTGAAAATGGTAAATACTTGTTGGATCATGTGGGAGATATATGTGCACACGTACTTCTCCAGTTGTGAGACTGGGCGCCAGTGAGTCTGGACGCAAGAAGGAGGCTTGCGAAAAGTCGAAGGAGGACGAACCACATACTCAACGTGTAAAAAGCCTGAGGAGATGCGACAGCGTCTGGAAGCTGAGGTATCACGGTGCGAGCACGAACTTATATACGCATATGATCCCGTGCATCATAACATCCACGTACTTATAAATTCTGATGTGGCAGGATCAGATCACGACAACGGCTCTGTTGTTGACTCAAATTGCTGGCCGACACGAGGGAGAACGCCATATCTCGAGGCCTGGAAACAAGTAAGGTGCTCAGTGATGAAGATTAAACACCGAGAATACTTACTCACGCAGCCTGTCGGATGCTCATCATTCCGACGAGATAATATTAGGAACAGTACATTACTAGTATATGACTCGATACCTGTATGATGCGAATCATGATAGCTCTGACAGGAATCCGTGATATGGATACGGGACACGAGATAGCGAACGAAGTCCTTGGATGTTGAATTTGTGCACCAACAAATGCAATACGATGCAAAGTGCGCACATTCGAAATACTTTTTTGCCAGTTCCACTCAGTGACGGGAGCAGTGCACCTCTGTCACTACATATTTGCCAATATGGTACAACTAATATGCTCATAAATATAATGCATTCAAAAATCTCACACTGCGTAGCCTTATTAGGTAATTCCAGGTTCGATCGCAATATAAATTCTTAATAGAAGGCTATGCATGCGTTAGAAGGTCAACTGGTGCTAAAGCGGAGTTGGCAGTGCTACACCGGCATCGAGTTGACACAGACGTCAAACTTACATCCGGGCGGCGACACCTCGAGGGATCCTGGGTATGGGACACCATCTCGACTGTTGGACAGTGAACAACCATGCTGCCAGACATCAAGATGTGATACGTAAATTGTCAGTGGATGAGCACTTGGGCTCGCTTGCAGCCTGATCCTCGAGCTAATTAAGGTGCTCCAGCCAAAGAGCATGCATCCCCAATGCATCCCCGCGAGGGGCGACCTGGGGCGACGCAGAATTTTTACAGGTCAAAACACAACACAACACCACGCATATCTCGGAGTTGTGACCGAGGAGGCCTTTAGTGAATCACACTTTGAACTACACAGTTCGTCGAGCCTACAGCGTTGTACCTCTGGCCAGTGCCAGTGTCAGGCATAGAGAGGATATGCCACGCCGCACTCCCTGGGATCATCCGAGGAGTTCCGATTAGACCGATGATAATTCTCGAGCTCAACGAGCTAGTGCACAAGGAGACCATAACAATGTCTCAAGTGTATTACAATGACCTCGTATAAGCTAACTTTCCGAGAAAACAGTGGGTGCATAAGGAATTCATTCTTGAGTACAGTGTTCGTGGACGCGCTCAAGAACTCGAGACTCCGTACGCCCTGCACATCCAAGGTTCAGTGCGCCTTACCTCTCGTTGACGATCATGAATGGCACTTACGAGATTGAATAAGCCAGGTTGGGTATTTCCTGGCAGTCGCCTCCCTGCAGTCCCGCTTGCCCTCCTACGCATTGGTTGGTCACATTATAGCCCACCGAGCTCTTTCGCCAGGCAATGGTCCACCAGAACGGATACATCAAGAGTCATGTAAGGATGGCAGGGAGCGCATCAGGTAATAAACATCAAATAGAAAAAAAGAAGCCAACGTACAACTGTAGCATAGTTAACGAGTGCGTCCTCAGTCATGGCATTGATGAAGCTTATACCGCATGTCTGGTAGGAAAATTCCACCCGAGACCCAGACGGTACAGTAAAATTTCCTGCTATTGATCACAGCTAAGTAACACGATCTCAAGCCGGTGAGGGCACGACGTACACTGTCCGCTCAGGGACTCCGTGATCGCCTCACAATCAGATAGTACCGGTGTGGGGCCTAGGTCGGCGCACGACAAATCACCTACACATGGAAAGTATCGATTACGACGGGAGTAGCAGTTGTTAGCAATTATCGTTTGCTCCACAGGGGTCCGCCAGAAGTGAGAATAGCTAAAAAGACTTACACGTATCGCTTTGCCTCTTTCGCTTGGGGGAGCTTGGGGGCTGCGGAGGAACCGTGCTGATGTATACTGGACCATTTGGATGTGGTGGCGAAGGTTGGTACGGATTAGTGAAGCTGCATTTCTGACCAATTATGGTCAACTTTGAGTCCGGTATATGGGCTGAAGTATTCTCAAAGACATCTCCATCATTGCAGAATGAGTTGAGGTTAGGTGACACTGAGCGCTTATGTACGGCTTTAACGCATTGGTATTCAATCCGAGAACACGGCGGATAGACATCGACTTGCAGACATACCTTTCCGACTATGTGACTTGGCTCCGACGAAACTGATTGCCAAAAGACTTAAAAGAATTTGGAGAGCGGGAAACCACATTATGACGAGGTATACAAGTTGGATAGAGAGGTCGTAGGCGTGGGATGCCAAAACCTATACATATGCAGATGACTGAATCCATCATGGTAAGTGCCTTCCGACGGGCTTGTACCTTTGGAAGTTGCAGAACCAACGTAACAAGAGATATCTTGCTGATATCAACTACCCACCACGAGAAAGGAGGTGATCCATCTCATCCAGGAACTGTACTTCCATACTGAACATAGTCAGTGGGATAACTACAACAGAGGCGAACATTGCGCCTCACGGTGCGCATGTAGATACTCCATAGGAGGCCTAGATCGGTATTTTACCGGAGGAATGTTGTCGTTAGGTTCGCGCTGTTGTTGTGGCTATGATAAACCTGAAAGATCAAGATGATCATACATATCTGTCAAGTTATGCACGAATTATGAGACATGCGCTAGCCAACACTGTGCCTGTCAGCGTCGACATCGGGGCTGTGCGCAGCGTTACCATAGCGAACTCCATACAAAGCGAAAAGCAGTCTATCTTTCCATCGTCGTTAAGAATGTGTACGTGCCTTTCGAGACTTTACGTTCATGCTTTGATGGTGGCTTGATATATTGACCCTTGACGTGCCTCCACATATAGTTCCGCCGGAGTACATAAGAATCTTATTTGCTCCCGCGTGAACATATCATGATTCTGATGGGCATCCAGTAAGATGGATCACACACGGGCTGAACGGAACTGACAACATACACTAGACTCATGAGTCGTTCCCAGAAGAACCACATATTTTGAAAGCTGTTGATACCTCAAAGATATTCTCCAAAAGGCTGATGCTTTCTCTTCCGCTCTCAACCTCGCAAGCCATAGCCCGTAGTTGTGTCAAACACTCAGGTCCTCAACTGACAAGATTTCAATATATATCGAACCTCGGAATGCTAATGAGGGTGCTTAGCACTGCTTCGATCGCGGGACAAGTGTATATTTGAGCACGTAGGAGAGTAGATATGAACGTTTGAACGTTTCGCTGCTAACAGCCACTAAAATCTGGCACGATTCGAGAGGCCGGACCAGTCCCGGGCAACAAGTCGATCGAGACTCGAGAGGCAAGGTGCTCATAAGCGCCGACCTAGCACCGATCGCCCCAAAGTGGAAGCTCATAAACAGTCATCGAAAAATTCAGACTGAGTTCCAGACAGATTCAATTAATGGCGGGGTCATTTATATCATGCTGGCTGCTCCTGTGCTTTCTGGCCCATGCATGTGCAAGTGGGCTCTTGCCCTAGTCCAAATCTCATTTGTCAGCGCTGCGACGACACGCATCGTAACGCAGCTAATTTAAGGCTCATGCATCGACGGATGAAGACAACAGCAACTTATCCTTTCTCCTCGACCCTAAACAGCACCAACGGAGCGAGTCCACCAAGTCCCTAAAAGCATGGGAACAGATGTCGGGAATATTGAATTCAAGATGCAAATTTCTCTTTCTTGAGCGGCGTCATATATACATCATCCAAAATAACATTAAATGCATCGGCACGAACCTAAAAACTTGCATAAATCGTTCCCAAGTCTTCATTGGGCTCGGCGGCCTGAGCGTTGGCATGGCCCGGCCTGTCCCCTCTAATGTTTCGCAACGCCGTCATACATGATATCCGTATCACGCTGGCCAGCAAAGTAGCTGTCTCTCCGAACCGCTGCAGCCCATACACGATGTATTGCAGCGCGAACAACGCGGCAACGATCAGTGTAGGGACAAGCGCGATCGTCGGAACGACTTGCCACACGATGCATAGCACGAAGAGCACCATCGATGCAGTCGACACAAGGGTACACATCGCAGGAATACGGCAGGTGAGGCAAAAAAAGAAATACGAATCGTATATATCCTTCGCGCGGGTCTGGGGACAGAAAGCGAAGGGAAGCACGCGCTTGACACTCAGCATCGCAAGGTCGACAGCAAACCAAGGTAACTCGCCTTGAATTGTTCTGGAGTCGCACTGCTGTATTGAAAGTAGAGCACGGCGTCGGACATGAGTCCCAAACCTGCGACGATCGCTCCGAACGCGACGAGATGGCGCGCGACACCATCCACAGCAAAGAGCACGCCGATGCTAGCATACCCGAATACAGCCGCATTGATCCTGGAAGAAAGCAGGTTAGCTGAAAGACACACTGCGTATACTAATTCACGTACGCTAACAGAGCCACGAGCTATTGGAGACAGGTTCAATGGGACGTAGACCGCTCGGGCAACAGGAACACTAACGTACCGAACCTCCTGTGACAGACCACTCCTGCAGAAGCCGCGATAGGACCGCCTGATAGTCATCTAGTTGTGTGGCTTCGCGCAATTCCCGCAGCGGACTGAATGACTCGACCCATTTTCCCAACAGTGCCCGAGCACTCTCGGCCTGACCACGCGTGCGCTCGATCGCTATGGTAGGGGAAGTATAAATAGCGTTGATAGTTAGACAGGCAGGTGATTCAGGTGGACTAATTGCAAACACCCCCTTCGGGGGGCCGTCGTTGTCGTCCTCGCCGTCTTCCTCGTCATCAATAAAGTAGTTGCTCCGATGGAATTCTGACGTATCGCTTTCACTATCAGACTCTACGCGTGCAATCGTGAGCGGCCATGCTTCAGCATGATCTTCAGTCTGCACGAGTCTCCTTCTCAATTGGTTCAAGTCGGAATATTCATTTACATTCGTGCTCTGCGCAAATTCTTCACGTATGCGGTGTGTCGCACCCTGATGTTGAATAAAATCTGTTTCAAAGCCCGCATGACACAGGGAACAATGAGCAGCATATAAGGGCATCGTGGAGAAACAAACGCGCACGCAGCTCAGCCGGCGTGTGCGAGGCCATCTCACGCATCGGACTTGACCAAAGTGGAACAGGTAACGAGATCTGCAAAGCTGTGGGCGATGATTGTGGGGGATGTGGGCAAACCAGCATGGACAATGGTTTGGTCAAACTTCCGGACATTTTGGAGTGCTGTACTTCCTTCAGTGGAACTTCGAAAGCTGATGGAGATAGACATTGTCAGCACTTCTCCACAATTCTCGAGAGAGATTCGACCTACGAGTGATCGCGTTTAGCAAATTGTCGCATAAAATTGATCCCATTGCTATACGATGTTCATGTGAGTAGTTTAAGTATTCTATCACAGACCACACTGAGATATCGATGCGTGTCTCGCCGGTGAGGTCAGGTTCACGACTACATACAGCTCGTGCTTGTGAGAAGCGGGGCTGCGGAGATGACATGCATGCAACCCACAGGAGCATTTCTCCACATCTATACACGCCATCGTCGTACGACTCGACGTCCATCGCGTACTCAACGTCCATTTCCTTCACGGTTATCTTGACAGAATAGTGGCCGCGTGTCAGAGGAGCCATTCCGGAAATCTCGATGACTCGAAGCAAGGCATTAGCACAATGAAATGTGTAATAACATATAATCAAAGCGTACAATTGAACCCCCACAATTCACTGACAATCCAAATTTTGTGAATGTGCCGTCACAGCATATACATGCTAGTGCATACCTTGCTCGCTGCATTTCCGAAGACATTTGGTTTGATACGGTGGTTAAACAGTCCGGTTGTGGGGTCAGCACGGCTAAGATCGAAGGAGGTTCTCTGAATCTCGGACGGTGCTCAATGTGCGCACAGTACAACTCCAAGCTAGATTTCCGTGTGAAACGAAGCAGCCCAATATGCAGCTGAGCGTGACATCGTGAGTGAATTTCGGAGAGTGAGGACCGCGGGCTTACTTTGAACTGAGTTTGACAGCACAGACTCACTCGCGCAAACACTTGTTAAGTTGCGCATCCTCTACTATGTCCTCACCTTTGAAAATCGAACTGACGCACTGTGTGCCCTAAACCCATTTAACATCAGTGTGGTACTGAAGTGATCACTACAGTCATCAGCGCAGTTGTATACATTACCCAGTGATAGTCCTGGTTCGCTCACCATTTCCTTCAAGATACACAATTCAACTCGAGCACAAACAATTGGTATGAAAACCCGGAGCCATCGATATAGTCGAGTCATTCCCTGTGCTCTTCGACTGTAAGCGGTCGATGAACGGAACGCGGGGCGGTGATGGTACGTGTGAAGCGTAAGACGCGAACCGCATGCAAGACCACGATAAGCACTAGGTGCTCTATCCAACTCACGTTCATTTATTTATGGAAATGCTATCCAATGGCCATCAAATCAAGTACCAATCATCTTGACGAGCAGACATGAGAATGTCCTCGTTCTGAGTTGTTTGCCCTGCTCGCTCTGCACTCACAATCGACGTCGCTCCCGCCCGTCACCCGTCCTTGTACGCCGTGCTATGCCTCTCGTCCTTACATTCTCGGAGAATAACCCACTAGACTCGACTATCGTCGACGAGAGCACGCACGTCCCGACTCCTCGCTACGAGACATTCACCATCAAGGTGACGGGCGGCCAGAGTAAGACGACTTTGTGGGCGCTGGCCCCATCGCGCAGCATCGTAGCGGAGGTGGAATGGGAGCGGTCATTCAAGTCGGGCAAAATCACGATGGAGGGCCGATGCATGGAGATGGATGCACTGTTGCTTGGAGGCGGCTTTCTTAGTCGAACGTGCGTTCGCGTTCTTGAGAACTCGTTCACTGAGACATTCAGGTTCGTTGTGCACTCCACAGTGTGCGTAAATTTCAGCTTCCCGGAGGGCGACTATACAAATGGAAGCAATCTGGTGCTGTGGATCTCAAAGTGTGCATTGTCCGTCATTCTTTCGTGCGTGATCGATCTGACTGTCTCCTCACTACCGATGGCGGATGCAGCTTGTCGACCCGGAGGATGGCTCTCTTATTGCGCGTTCGTTGCACGCCAAGTTAGGGATGTTTGAGGAGCAACGAGACTTGACTCTAGAAATCTCGGATAGAGGCCTGGCCTCCCTCAACTTGATCCTGCTCACGTTTCTGTTGGTAGAGCATCTCGCAAGAGAGCAGCGCCGCGCGTCTGTTCGTATGAATCCCGTCAACAATATCAACAGCCTCAACATGATCAATACAATGAATGTCATCAATATGACCAGTATATAATAAGTAGGTGCTTCAGATAAGGGTGTGAAAGGGCTATAAGTGCGACCGACGTTCAGATAATGTGAAGGTATAGGAGAATGTTGATCGAGCCTGTCTCTAGCTCAACATCGCTGACTATTCGTATACAGATTATTATATGTACGTCTATGTGACTTCGACGAGACAGTGAGTGACAAGGCCATCTGATAACGATTCCTCATCTGTAAGTCAGAGGTGTCCCCTCATAACTCTGGGTCGATACAGTGGCGTGGAATCAAGTCGATCAAGCGCTATCTTTGCTCTCCATGAGGTCGTTACTGCTGGATTCAATGTCCTGTTTTCAAAATTGCATCAGCTGTGAGGTCCCCAGTGAGTGCTTCTCCGTACCAGCAGTACTCCCGACGCCGCAACATGAACGAACGACTCTTCCCGAATGTCCACTCCACTGTGCCGGACTCCCCATAATCTGAGCTAAAACTATCTTGTGGTAGAATCAACAGGGGAATTCGCTGGAATGCACTGAGGACGCAGTTCTTGCAGCTCAAATCTGTCCTAGGAGAGTCGTTGGGACGTTCCGGCACTTGTGGCATAGCACTGTTCGTAGGTAGCGAGGCGAGCAGGCAGCGTGGTGGACGTGTGTTGCCGCCACTATGTTGGTTTCCTCCAAGTGTGGTAGCCTCACGCTCAGCAAATTTTCAGGCACTCTGTACGATGTGCTTGTGCACAACATACAGACCCCGCTTCTTGCTTGTTTTCTAGTGAGCCCTATACGGACGCGCTGATTCGGATGCCCAGAGTCCGCAAGGTCTCTGTAATGGACATGGCAGGCTTGGCTTGTCTCCGACGTGGAGATGGAAATGCAGGGGAGCTCAGGTGGGAGTATCAACGTCTGGGAGGTCTGAAGCTGACGGTCGTCGTTGTGCGCGGTGGCCCATTTAAGCTAGTCGTGGGATAAAATCGGTACAGTAGTGGGATCAGCCAGATTGAGGAGGGGCATAAACACGATCAAGATGAGGGCTAATTGAGAGATTGGGTAGATGGGCGCCGGCAGCTCCCATCGCCGCCGCCACCTGGAGCGGACTTTCCAGCAGAACTTCCGATATTCTGGCCGTCGCCGCATCAGCTGCAACATATGTAAGAGCTCAGTCACTCAGGATAACATCCTCGTGTACTACTAGTCCCATGCGCATTCACAGTCGTCCATCGCAATAAACCGCACACTTGTGCTCCGATTTATTAAACATTCATTACTTAGGTCTACTGATTCTGATGACATGCATGAAATACTGAGAGTTGGTAGGTTTACTCTTTTGTGTAAACGCTATTCAACGAAGTTTGTCACCCTGGAAGTGTACTTTGAATCTTTAGCCAGGTTATGGAGGAGCATATAATTCAACATTCACGCCGGACACCGCCAGTGTGAAAGTCTCGCAGAACTACGCGCAGAGCTAGCGTCTTTCCGAACTTCGAAATGGTCAGCTTACCTTGACCAACTCCCTTGATAGCTTCACAGAAAGTATCTCTCAAGGAGATTTGAAAGCGAAATATAGGATGAAGACAAGCTACGATAGACAGCATTCATGCGGCAGAAATAGCAAGATCAAGTATGAAGAGCAATATTGCGAGACGCAGTACAAGTAGGGATCCGATACCAGATACCGAGATACCACACAGGCATGGATCATCCTGACCTAGGACGGGATAGCGGTTTGTCAACCGGGATTTCTAGCATTTAATGAGGAGCATCGGGGGACAGCATCTAGGAAGAATTGGTGCCGGAAGATTCGTTGTCCGGTGAGGTCAATGCGGAATGAGAATGAGCGCAACACGCCAAAACATATAAGGCTTCAATGTCATTTTGTGATGCGGAACGGGCCCGAAGGATGGAATCTGTGCTGGGCACGTTTTCAAGCGCGACGAACTCGACGACCGTGTCTTGATGCTGCACAACGGCTGGTTGTTCGACCAAGGCGAGTGCTGGGTGTCTGGTCGACCTGAGGCCTGGGGGAGCATGGGGAGCTTCACCCGGCTGGTCCGGGATTCTCAACTTCTCAGATGGGGGTATGAATGGGTCAGAGGGCGACGACGTGATCGAATCCGAGGAACGGCTTGTTTCGTTGTCGGAAAAATGCGATCTTCTCATCGTATGAAATTTCAATCTCGCGCTTCGACAGCAGGTCACCCTGTCCGAGCAGTCAGCTCACCCACTTATGCAATCTGTGGAGCTTACCTTGAGCACGGCAGGCTGTATGTCAGCCATGAACTTCCCGATGCGTGCGGCCTTCGCGCGCGGTGAACGTATGTGGGCTATCGCAGGAAGTAGCAGTGGCTTCCATCCACTCGGGGGCGAGTTACCTCTGCGCGGGCTCGTCGATGACAGCTCCAGCTTCCGCGGGAGATGACTCTTCTCGAAGTCCAAGACTGACCCCTCTGAATCCAGAGATGGCTGACGGAGACGAGACTGTAGGTAGATGACCAGAATTGTACCCCAAGCCAGAACATTGAAAAGTCCCAAGACGATCAGGAGAATGTTCAAAGCATGCGGAGAGAGGCCCATGCTGATCCTCGGGACAGCCGTCAATGCTCAAGCGGGAGGAGTTCCAACAACAGAAGGCCGATGAGAAGTTGCTGTGGGCAAAAGAGGATGACAAGAAAACAATTTAAAGCAACGTAAGTATCAGTTTGGTCCAGATCGAATATCCAGGCATTGGGGTTTAGACCGGGTGCACTTACCACCCCATGGCGAGCACCATCTTGGATAGTATACGGTGATTGAGGTGTCTGTAATCCTACGTAAGATTAAGGATCGATGTGCTATTCATAAGATATAGTCCTCTAGAAATCGTATCGCTTAGACATGTGTTCGACCAGCAAGAGCGAACCATGATGCTCAACCTGCGGAATTCAGCGCATTGATCGAGATCATCATCTCGATCCCCTCCCTCCCACGAAAACTCTATAATCATATGTAGGAGCTGTATACTCAGTCGAGAAATCCGGCCGTGTGGGGGATGTTGCTGTCAAGGTGAGTGGCATTGTCATATCGTAACGGTAAACAGCATTTTGAAGCAAATGCCTACGGCCGTGAATATGTAGTTGGCAATGTAGCATCTGTTGGAATCAGCTCAGCTACGTTGATCTTTGCGGTTATTTAGACTACGGCCATGATGGAGAGTCGCATTCAATACATATGCAAGAAGGTACATTTCGCACCTGGAACCCACTCAAGCAGCGCTACTGGCGACGAGGGCGGCTCGTCTCTTGTTCTCGGTGCGTCGCAGGTGCTCCACTACTACGAACGAAAGTACTATGAAGTCAGCAGATGCCATGCCTCGACTCTCAATTTCGAGGATCATCTTTCCTCCGAGAAACCCAAAGAATCCCCTTCCGAGGCGATAAGAACGAGCGACGAGGGCACCATCATGCCCATCCACAAGCTGCTCGCGCGAAAGAAGAAAATGAGCCATGCAGTCGGCGAGCCAACATCCCGAATGAGGAACTCACGACTAGGTTGCCACGGCCCGCAGTCTTCCACTTATAATACCCAGTCGGTAGTCGAAACTTGCGGATTCTGAAACGCCATACGAACGGCATTAGCGTGCAGAACGGGTCCACCGGGGAAGCATGCTTGCGTTTTACCAAACGGCCCGCCTTTCGCCAAAATGTCGCTCATATACAATGTTCTCCCGCCTATGGTGACGCGATCGCGCGCGAGGGTATTCCATTCAATTTGCGCCACGACACGATGCGGTGTGCGCGCAGAGAGCGTCGTTCTTCGCGTTATAAAGGACCGAGTTGTGGTGGCCTCATAGCGGATACCGGCGAAGAGTCCGCCCTGGTCGGCGATAGTGGAGTTCAGAGGGTCGTTGCGTTGGAAGCAAAGAGCAAGGACCATGCTTGTGAGTTAGAAGGGCAAATGAAGTGCATGAAGCCCACATATTCGCATTGATTTAGGTATTCCGAGCACCACTGGTCACCGCAGCAGAGGAGCAAGACATGGCAGTTCTGAGATCTGCGCAGCGAAGCAACACACTAGAAGCGGAGAATTGGAGTACAATTGATTCGATGGCCTTCCCAATAACAGCCTGAGGTTTATAAAGAAATTGAATGGTACGAAGCTGCATGTACATGGTCTAATGGTTTCGTGCCAGTACCTAATAAGCAGAACGCAAGTGTTACAGGCAAGAGAAATGCAGACGCATCGGCGATAGACGCTAGGTCTGGAACGCGCTCCGACTTGTCGAATACAACAGCATGAACGGCAACGCGAGGTACATGAGTGAAACAACGCGTATCCAGCACAAGCGAATATGGTGGAGATCAAGTGAGGATCAGGCAAATATTTAGTAACAACGACCAGTAGTAGACAACATCAAGACTGGACACATCGCGCAACTTGTAAAGGGTATCGGGGATATATGTATGACGGTCAGTGTGTTCCCCAAAAGCATAAAGTGTCAACGCGTCAACTTGCACAGGCCCAAAAGCCTACCGGACCTCCCAATGTACAATGCCTTGGAACGCCATCGCTCTTCTACCCCACTCGCGCCGCACCAGGGCAGGGTCCACGCCCCGAGCATCCTGGCCATTCCAAGACGTCAGGACTGCCATGTTCACCGAACCCTCAACACGGGGAATATGCACAGTGGCAGTCCACCCACGCTCGTCGCGCTCCATGACCTCCTTCTCCTTCACACCCCCGCATTCTATCATCAGCAGCAGCACATAGTCCGACCAGTAGTCACGCCGCTCAATGTGCCAACACCGCTTCTCGACGTGGAATGTGTGCGCATACCCACCCGCGAGACACCTTTCCGCGGGCAGCAGGGTCTCCTGTGCATACTCGCACTCCTCAAAGTGCGAGAACTTCTCCGGTCCCTCCGGCTCGAGGATGTACTCCTCCCACGACATCTCGCGCCCGTCTTCGCGCATCTGGTGCCCTGCCTCCGCGGGGAAGTGCCGCCGCCCGAACTGCTCGTTTGTTGAGGTAAACCAGATCGGCGCGAACCGCTTGGTGTACGACGTCCCGCTCAGCACCCCCGCGCCCCAGCATGCGTCGATGAGATGCCACTGTTCGTCGTCGAACACGACCGCGTTCCACGCGTGGTTAGACGCAAACGGAGGAGCAGTGCCGCCCTCTGTGGCAACGTACCCGAAGCCCTTGCCATGCCCGTTCACAGTAAGCGCCTGCATCCCAGCGTACTCAGCGAGGTTCGCAAAAAGCTTTGCGTATCCCTCGCACACGGCAAGTCCGCTCTGAAGCGTGCCTGTCGGTGTCGATGGCTGCATGCAGTTGTTCAAGAACGAGTATGCATCATATGCAATGTTGTGGTGCAGCCAAGTGAAAATCGCTCGCGCCTTATCCGTGAGCGAGTCGAAAGGTGCCGTCAGATCGTACGCAAGCTGCTGGAGTGAATCCACATTTTCCCTTGGGAAGCATGCTGCGTGGGCATCGACCTCCTCAAACGATCGGCACTTCAAGCACGAGTCGTCCGAGTCCGAAGCTGTGAGCATCGGCTCAGGTGCATAGACTGGCTCTGGTACGCTGACCTGAGCTGTGGATCGTAACGAAACGGGCACGGATGGTGGCCGAGTAGCACGATTGATTGTTGGTGGCTTAGGGGTGCTCTCTGCTTTATCCGTCGCTGGTTCTCGAGATCGAAACGGCGGAGGCAATCGCCGCGCCGGCGCCGGCGGTGGTGACGGCTGAGGCTCTTCTACTTTGGTAGTATCTTGGGCGACAGACGCTTGGCTATTCGAGCGACGTGCAGGGAGAGGGGGAGCCTTCCGAGGAGGAGGAGGGGGCGGTTGTACCCTCATGAGTGGAGATGCTTCGGATTTGGAAGCGCGTGGTGGAGGAGGGGGTGGACGCTTCAGAGCGTTCACCAGTGTGTCCGAGGGCACAGTGGCAGAGGTAATAGACATGCGTGCTCCGAGCCCATTCCCCGCTGGTTGAACGCGAAACTCCTTGACCGAATCCGCGTCCCTTGCTACTCCTGACAACCAGGCAGGCATGTCGTCGTGAACAAATACTGATTTCCACCGAGATGCAAGAGACACTTACCAGCATACTTATTTTCAAGATTGAGGGCCGCAATTCGCGCCGCGATCCCTTGTACGGGCGGCGGCGTGTCAATAGAGATCGGGTCGGAGTCGGATGAAGTCGTCGATGCCGTGGACGAAGGGCGCCGAGGGGGCGGAGGTGGCGGGACCTTGCGACGAGGCAGGGGGGGTGCAAGGGCCATTGCGCTCACGAGCACAAAGCTTCAACGTTCAACGTTCAACGTTCAGGTCAAACTGGAAAATGGCAACGAAGGGGTCGAGTCAGATCCAATACCGGATCTGTCAAATGTGAGAGACCCGAGGCAGTACGGCGCTAGATTAGGGGTGGGTGATGCGAACGACTTGGCTGAGACTACACTTGGCCGCCCTCATGTTCAGGGCGTGTCGTTGCCCACTCATCTTGGCAGCATTGTAGCAGCAGGAACGTGCAGAACTAGAAAGTTGGAAATAAAAATGAGCCAGCAACGCCTTCCGCGCACTGGCAGGAGGCTGAGTTCCCAACCAAGCGCTTGAACAAAGTCCAACAAACAGGTATATAGTACTCTGACAACCTTAACCCAATCCCAGGAGAAGGCCGCCCCCCCTTCGCACTTGTTTGATTCCCTTCAACTATACGTATCAATTCGATGCTCAGAGCGCCCCATTCCTCAAACTATAGTAGCTACTGGAATACTCTCGTATAACTATCGATCACAAAGAAATTGATGGCACCTTCCCAGCTCGTCTCGCCCAAATTCGGCTTGAACTTATAGGAAAGAGTTTTGCGTCGTAGGTGTTCGACGATGACAAACGTGAGCAACACCCATTCCACAAAGTCTCGAGTATTCGAATCTTGAATCTCGAGAGTCATGCCGGCGGGTCGTGCGTCACGGGTGTGGAGGGATCGTCCGACAATATTGTTGTCTCCGTCAACCAACTATATGTACGCAATGCGGCACCTCCAAGGTCAGTGTATGATCTGTGACCAATAGTTGACGTGAGATAGCCCACCACAAGACCATCAGCTCCCGCGCGCTGCCACTTATACCATGTACCTTCCGGGAGCTGGAACTTTCGTACCCTGCCTACTGGTTCAGCCCGCCGTTCACTCGACATACCCGGTACCGTAACATTCAGCTAGGATAGGACGCACTCACGTGGGACTCAACAATCCACCGTGCACCAGGAGTTCGTGGATGGACATTTGTCGCCCGCCCACTGCGATTGTTCCGGAATCGAGCGACTTATTCCACTCGATTTCACCAATAACGTGAGGTGGAAAAATGGACGTGATAGTAGTCTTGCTCTTGTGTCCAGCGTGGGCGGTAGCCACCTCGTATACTGGGTTTGGCTTGTTGCTACCGCTGTGATCGAGAATGGTCGATCTGAGAGGGTTGTTGTGTTGAAACGAAAGGGCGAGCGGCATGTCGACTTGTCTGTTCAAAATATGGGGCACGGCCTCGATTCGGCGTGATAAAATAAGGATTGACCAAATGGCTGTTAGTTGGTCCTTATGATATGAACCAGATTATGCCAAGATACGTGCATGCACTATTATCTTTACTGTACTCAATGCAGTGGTGCCGGTAGCGAACATTAGCACACCTGACAACTTTGTGCTGTGCATTTTGACCGCTCACGCTGAGGAGCCTGATCCCATCAGTCCAGAAACTCCACGTGTGCGTCATGGGACAGGCGGCTTCGCTATTGACGGCACGACAGATACTGTATTTTACATAGGACGTTGGAAGTTAGTTCATGTAGGTAAACGCCCTTGGACGCTCTCTTGTCGAGTGTCGACCACTCCTCCCCAAATGATGCCCCACAGTCCTCGACTTGCCGTCCCGAGACACTGCAGATGGCATTTATGACGATGCGGAACCTATTCAGGAAGTGCCTATGTGCAAAGGAAGCAGAAGCAACAAAAGTGAGCAACAGAAAATATTAGTAGAGCCACTGTTCACAATCCCATTGTCGTGGCATACAAGCTCGAAGTCATCGAGACATTGTTCGCTACAGCGGAATACATCGACATGGCGCCCACGATGTCGGACACGCGTTTGCCGCGGTTGTGCGCAGTCGAGAGACGCGACATCCGCTCCAGATGCTCCACAATCACAAATGTGAGGAAAATTCGGTCGGTGAGACGCAGCCCTCGATCTCTGATCTCGAGAGTCAAGTCTCGCTCCTCCCCAGGTCCGACCCTGGCGGGGAGCGACCGCGCGACGACAGCATCGTCCTTCGAGTCGAAGAGCTTGGTTATCCATATTCAGATGAGCCTGACCGAGAAACCAATGAGCGAACGTTACTCACCAAGAGGCAAGACCCGCCCGAGTGTTTCCATCTGTATTCTTCCCCATTGCGAAATCGAAAGCTTCGTATTCTGTCAAAAGATACATGGTCGTTCCCTGATAAGTTGCGCCGTTCGTCACCGATGATATAGACGTACGTGGTACCGAACAAACTTCCATGGGGAATGAATTGATCTATTGGTGTTCGTTGTCCGGCCATAATTACTATGCCCGACGTGAATGACGGAGTCCATTCTATTTCTGCAACAACACCGAGCTCGGTCGCAGTCGTAGTTATAGTCGTTGTCCTCTTGTCTCGGGACCTGGTGGTGACTACGTGATAGCGCAGGGCCGTCCGGTTGTCTTTATCGAGACTGATGACAGTAGAGTGCAAAGGTTCATTTCGCATGAAAGACAACACAAGAGGCATCGTTGCATTTGCTACTTAGACGCGCCAGTCCGACCAGTCCGATTTCAAGATGGGGGTATGAGGAGACGTAAGGCGTGCGGCCGGACTACGTATCTCTTCTATCGATGAATGCATCAGAGTACATAAGTTAGATTGTGATTTTGGTGCTAAATGGCGGCGTCTCACTTTTCAAAGGTCAGCAATGCTAGTAGTGGCGCCAGCTGGTCATCAAGTTCCGGTGGTGCCAATTTTGTGGTATTGGTGCAGCGCGCATTTTGAGCACTTGAGTACGTCTGTATATAAATAAGATCAAAGCCGGTGTCATGCATCATGTAAGGTTTCGAGGCGCCATGATGTGATGGTCCACCACTGTGTCACAAGGCATGATTTAGTTCCAGTCCACTGCGCACAGCGTTAGAGAAGGTCTGGCAACACTGTTAATTTACAAATTATGCAATTGAGGGCCCGCCATGTGGGGTCCTGCGCTGCAGTATAAATCCAGTAAATGGGTGTTCTGGAATGCTGTAATAATGAGGGCAGAGACGAAAAACTTGAAGGCTCTCCTCAGCTTCAACACTCAATGTCTGCGAGAAATGTCACGTAAACCGGGTAGTCGCAGAGGGCTCATGGTCGCTTGCCAAGAGCAAGAAAAATGCCTATACTAGCGTCGTGATCGGTATGTAGTACAACCTCATTCGCGTACATTCTTCGCATTGAATGAGGTCAGACATTCAAATAGACTCATTGAACTGCGTGACTCACTTTCAAAATCCCATACTCGCATTCATCGCTGCGGTATCGGTCATATTTATGTTATTCATGATTCTGAAACTGTGTTTTATGCGTGCAGGGACAATGCTACAATGCTATCGTTATGAGGGTCGATAAGTTAGAGCATGAAACAATCATACACATATTGCAAGATGATGGAAATGCCGAACTCACCACCGAATCTTGGCTACTACAGCACTTCCATTTGTATCTGCTCCCAGAGGGAAAAAGAACTGCAGCCTGTGACATAAGACCACCATGCGAACAGGATCAAGGTTGAAATCAGACGTGGACATATTATTGAAGTAACCCCCAGGCAAGACCCAAACAATGAAGTCGATATAATGCTCCATCATGTAGATAGCCTTGACCAGGATCGAACGAGAAGTTCCATTATATTCTCCCCAGCAAGGTTCAAATTCGAGAATGACATAGTCAGGAGAGCCGTTGTCGCATGTTCCGCAATGAGTGTAATTACACGTACCGTAAGGCTCGTGCGCAGCCACCAGGCTCGAGTCAAGACCAATCGAGGCCCGTTGGGTGCGATGCGGCACACACATGTGGATACACTGAAGAATGAAAAACCACTGTAGTATACGGAACAGCGTGAACCCAACGAAGGACAGTTGAACGGCAAAATATGCCACATACGGTGGCAGCGCAAACAGCCAATTTCGTTGTGACTGGCACCAAGTGGCGTGCAAGCTCTCTCTCTCCTGTGAGCCATTTGAACTTGGTCTCGTACCCAAACACGTCCGGGAACGAGACCACCACAACTGTGACTCTGAAGTCATCTCAAATAATTTTTGCAGAGACCATGGGCATTCTACGGCGTCCAGCTCGGTTTATCGACACAGGACGAGTTGTGGTTGGCCGACTCGAAATGGCATCTGGGTCATGCTGCCACCCAAGACCGACCGCAGTGCATTTGATCAGGCCTTGGCAGGTACGACATTGTCTGTATGACATTTCGGCATGGATCCGGTCAAAGGGATTAAGAACATACGCATCAAGATATGGCCTTACTCCTTCGTCACCCAGTGATGGCCCTCACACTTTCCTTCGAGTCTCATCCTCTAAATTCTGTCATCTCAGGCCACAGTACCCAGGGTGACCCCAGTCCGTATTATGCGGTTTACACCACCAGCTCGTTTACCAAGCAGAGTACTACATTCTCGGCAATCTCCCCTCCTTCTGTTATCGCGAAGATTGAATGGAACTCGTTCTCTCCAGACGGAATTATCATGGACGGTCGGACACGTCTTTTGGACGAAGTAGTAGAACGGGGCGGGGCTTTGGGGAGAACGTACGTTCTCCGTCGCATGCATGGATGGACCGTCCTGATGTTGTGCTTATCATGGATAGGATACGCAAATTCACACTTCCGGACGGCGCGAAATATAAGTGGAAGAGTTACTCCAGCCGGAGTCTCGTTGTATGTTGCCTTTGCCCAATTACTGCGACTCGTCGGCTACAGCTGACGTCTTTGTGGCTTGCTTGTCAGCTCCTGGATATGTACGGGACTACCATCGCCCGTTCTCACCGTGCAAAGTCCGGATCCTTTGGGAGCGTCAAGCGAGATATGACGCTTGTGATTGAGAGTCCCGGATTGGCGTTTCTTGACCTCATAGTACTCTCATTCATTGTCGCGGAGCACGCAACCCGACAGCGCCGCAGGCAAAGCAACCATGTGGACCATATGAACACCATGAACAATATGAACACCATGAACAATATGAACACCATTAACAATATAAACGCCATTAACAATATGAACACCGTTAGCAACATGTCCATGGGCTTTTAGGTCACACACCTCAGAGATGAGTTTTCGATATGTGAATGTGAATCTGTATAATCTAGTTGATGGCCAGAGTTCTCCGCTGGTCAGCAAAGTTTAGGGTCGCTGGTCGCACTCTTAGCGTGTCTTATATGCATATCAAGTATGTGTATACTACTAGTGTGTACATTCTATTCGGGATCGCAAGAATTATACCCACATATGTAATTCCCAGAAGGCCTGACGTCCAAATGAAGTATGACCTTTCTCAGTAAGCTCTGGATGCCCGAGTCCTTCAGGTTCAGCATGTAGAGCGAGGAGATTCATGCACTGGATGTGACGACGGTTGGATCGCACTCAATGTCATGACGCCGCGAGCTCCCGAAAGGTGCCCTTACACACGTTCACAGCTGTGCTCGTGTCTTCAACACGTTTGAGGACGAGACCACTGTGCTTATATCATATGAGTCTGCCATCACAATGGTACCAAATTTGTATACTTGTACGAACGCAAGCTTCGAAGTCCAAACATAAATTAATACACAGCAACTTGATGTCCATCCCCAGAGAATGAATGTGCCATGTGCAGTAATGAGTGTCTTGGTCTCGAGCAACTCGATAGCCCTCTCATGACTGGTGGATTCAGCCCCGACCTCACAACCCATAGGCACTGTGAACAACATGAGCGAGTAGTTTCCAGTCTTCATAGAAAATGTTACATACGCGACGTAGAACGTGGCGTTTGAAGTCCCATTGCACATACCTCCGTGATCTCCCAAAGTCCCACCCACGCATTCACTGGCAACAAGACCCCCAGTAGCGGCCTACGGGTATGCCGTCAATGAAGTAGCAAGAGCAATGTCAATATCGTCTGCGAGAGATATATCTGGGCAGAGAAACACGTACGAAGGTTGAGTAAGTCACGACCGCATTTGTGGGCAAGTAATTCATGAAGCTCATCGCGCATGTGTTATAAGAGATCTGGGTTTGGTAGCCAGGTGGAACAGAAAAGTTACCCTCTGTGTTTGCAATAAAGTTTAACCCGTAGCGTCATGCGAGAGCATGCAGAGGGATAAGTTTCAATCAATATTGCACGCATTGTAAAAAAGCGGAAGGAGGCATACGAGCTGCGCTCAACTCATCTGTAAGCATCATACAGTCGGAAAGATTTGCCGATGGACCAATATCGACACACGAAATCGTGCCTGTATATCAACAGAATTCCACACAGAAGATAATAAATACGTATATATATGAGCGACGGAAGGAACACATACACGTTTGATTGTTCGCCGTTTCTACAGTTGAATTCGACATCTGCGGATAAACAGTATCCATGGCAACGGACTCATTGGCTCCACCTGTCACATTTACTGAGCGTAGACAATCCATGGTGGTAACATTGAAGATAGCAGCGAGAGTAGTGATATTAGAGGTTTGGACAATATGTCCACCACTACACAGTCGTGTTTCCAGGCCATTTGAACTGGAAGGTTCATTTTCAGGGATAGGGCCGACAGGTCGAAGGGGTAATGAAACTAAATAGAGACTTCGCGGTTAGTAGACTCACCAAGAATTACATATACCACATAGTGACAGACCTCCATGCCCATGCTTTACGATGCTGAGCTTGGCACTGACAAGACCGATTCCGAGGGAGAGAAGGAGAGTGTTGACGAACAAGTGAGTAGGAGTCGAAAACATCCTGGACTTGAAAGGACTAGAGACGGCGATGGCTACTTATCGCACTGTGTGCAATGAGGATTTGCTTCCCATCCTCTTCTCTCTTATATAACTTTCACTCTTGATATAATCATCACAAATCAAGGCCCTCCAGGAGATATGGAAGCAAGCAAGGACCATGATCCATGAAGCACCCCGATGTAGAAGCTCAGATATCACGGACATAGCTAGCCAGCAATGAATGCTCCGTTTGAAAATGCTTGGCATTCAGAATCGCATTAGGCCTGCGAGAGAGCCTCGCCCACAGCCCAACAAGATCTACAACTGCAATCTGTCAAGATTCTGAGACGGCGATTCAACAAGGTCTACAACTGCAATCTGTCAACATTCCGAGGCAGTGATGATTATGCCCTAGCAAACACTGGCAGGCAGCGAACGGCCAAAGATCGGTACGTTTCAACCGTCCAACTTGAAAGTCCTAGGCAATGTGAATAGATCAGAAGTCGAAGAGGCAGTAAACTCACGGCACTCCATGGAGATACGTCGAGTCTGTTTATGTGGGTAGGGAAAACATTCCCAAAATACACTTGCCATATACGAGTTGATGATCATGTCCGTCATGTTCGTCATTCGTGCTGAAGGTTCTGTGTGCTCATCTGGCAGCATGCGTCATTAATCGAGACCCTTGATAGTAACCTGTATCTATCAAATAGTTGTGGAATCCAAACACAGTATCATCAATGGAAACTGATACAATTGCAAGCAGCAGCATAGAAACGTGGAACCATTGGGACACGGTAGAGTCAACGTGGTAAAGATGCAATCACATGCAGTGGCCACTGACATAAGAAAAACTCACCCGAAGCTATCCTGATGCTTCCCACCAGCATATATCGTCCCGAAGGACGTACTACATTGGTATGTAAGTGCTGCAAGAGCTCGGATCAATCGATATATGTGGGTCAGCACAGGGTATGTGATCACATATCTCTGAATACAAGCTCGACTGGACTTCTCACCACATAATAGAAGCCTACCTAGGCTATTTCATGTGCACTTGAGCTCAACAGCGTTTTACAAAGATGAATTTACGACCTCTAATAATATAGTGGACTTGCCAGCAGACAGTTGCCGCCTAAAGATTTCAGCTTGAATCTTTCCATGCTCTGGAGCCGGGATTTGCGTAGTCTATTATGTCGAGTGGTGAGAACTTCCCATAATACTAGTGGCAGGGGTCAGGATGCGCAGAAACTTACGTGCCACCAAAGTGACCCTCCGCGAGAGATGAACTTGTTCGGCAGCACAGACTTGCCGACTACCATGACCACATCAGAACCGAGAGACCTTTCCCATCTTATGTCGGCCAGAGCACTCAGCTCCGAGACCA